CACACAAGCATTTTAGATGACAGGATACCTAGTCCTCTTGATTGGCTGTTTTGGCCACGTGCAGTTTCTGTTCTCAATTATGAGAATGTTAGAAAAAAAGCCCTCCTTAAATATAGGCAGCTGCTCTTGGGGGCTGCCTGGCTGTGGCTGGACTGCCTGTGGACCCCAGTTCTGGAAGGTGGTCCTGGATGGAGGCTTCTGGTGTGACTGAGGCTTTGGAGCTGGAGAGTACGCTCTGAGGCTGGAGCTTGGGAGGTTGTTTCTACTGGGTTCAGATGTAAGGCACATGACGAAGTTTGGGAACACTTGCAGTCTGCAGCCACCTGACTACTGATTGGGATGACTGCATCCTGTTCCTAGTCTGCTGACAGGAAGTGCTTTTTGCTCGATTGCAGACTCTTCTGTGATTTCTTTCTTGGAAGAGAAAGGACTTCCCGCTGTACTTTTCCATTAGAGGAGGTCACAAAAACAAAAAAATAGCTTGTTACTTCAAACGAGGCTATTTTAAATGGGCCCACGCTAGATTTGTTGCAAGTCCAGTTTTCTACTCTGCTGGAGAAACTACTAGGAAATGTCGGCTGGCCTCAGCACTACCCTGAGCATGCCGGCGAGGCACAGGGCAAGGTGTGCTACGAGAAGTGTTTAGTCGGTCCCTTTGTTCAAAGAAGGTGTGTGGAGGCCTTTTGTCCCCCTCCTGAGATCAGGCTCTGAGATGGCTGTGTGGCTGTTACTTCTTCAGGCCGTCCTTTGAGAAGGGCTGAATACGCGCCTGCCCTCGAGTGCTGCTGAGCCAGGACCGGCATGTGCCCAGCCGTCCTCCTCACATTGGGAAGGAGCCCACTTCTCCACCCTCCATTCCTACCTTCTGTTTGGAGGTTCTAGGAGGGGAGCCCGGCTTCTCGTGTACTCTTAACCAAAGGACGGTCCTCCTAGCAGGAAAGCTCGTCCTCTTCAACTGAGCGCCCAGCTTCAGGAGAGACACGTGGAGCGGTGAGGGAGGAAGGGGACACCCGCCTAGCCTGCCAGGTCAGCCAAATCGACCCTGGTGATCTGTGGGTTGACAGGTATCCATTTCCTACCTTTTAATAATATCATTTTATCCTTAAAAAAAAAAAAGAAAATGATAAAATACGAGTTATTTTTCTCTTGCATTGCACACAAATCTGAAACCCAAGAAGAGAGTTCTGTCTAAGGTTCATTATCCCCACTGATTGTTTTCCCCAAAGTAGTTTTTCCCTTTGTTCTAGTTTTTGTGTCCTAAAGTAGATTATGAGTGGCAAAGACAGCTGCCTTCATACACTGTACCTTGGGTGATAGGCTATAGTACAAAAGGGTTTAATTGCCAGCTGAGTGCTAGGCCCAGTGAGTTAGGAACCCACGGCCAAAATCATCTCTGCCCTTTGGGTACACGAGAAGCAGGAGCAGGTTGCTCAGCATTGGAAGCCTACGTCGTCTTTCATTCCCCAGCACCTGTGACCCATTGAATGACCTCTTCTGGTGCCTCTCCCAGTCCCCACCTTGGAAGCGAGCCTCAGGGAAGGAAGGAGTGGTTCTGAATGTGGTGGGAGCGGCGTCTCTAGCATGTTCTGCCATGTCTTCCACACGATATTAGAAGCCTAGTCATGCCGACAGAAGACACACGGGACTCTCTACTCCCTTCTACTCCCTTCAAGAGTTAGAGCCTCAGAAACCCACAGGGACAATGCTGCCCTGCCCTAGAGGGTCTTCACCATGAGTTGGCATTGAGTCGGCAGTGAGGTTGGTTTGGTTTTGGGGTCCTGCTGTAGGCAGCAGCTGCTCCCTGAGATCTCTTAACACCACAGGTTTTGCTTGTGGTCCTCACACTAAGCTTGTGCTGGAAGTCAGTGCCACACACAGGTCTTGGTCCACAAGATGCCGTGAGTCTGAGGGACATTGTCACAGTGAATCTCGCCCCTGGCTTCCCTTCCACAAGGTACAGTGAATGTCTGACGGGTGAACTGTCCCAGTGGCTTTTCATGCCTCAATACGTCTCAGTCCTCTTGTTGCTCTCAGCTGACACGACTGTACTGCCATGTGCTTCCTTGGAGCAGTAAGGGTTTTTTAAACAAGGGCAGCTTCTGCCCCCTTCGCATTTGATGATATTCTAATCCAAACTTGTTCCTAAGACCTCTGCTAGCTTCCTTCAAGCTCTGTTTATATTTTGTGCAGCACGGGGTCTGATTTCCAGGATCCAAACCTCCCGTGCTCCAATCTTGGTTTCTAACAGTGCTCTTGAAATACGTTCATGAGGGAACCCCACTTAGCTATGTCTGTGATACATGAGGGATCCTCAAAAAGTTGAAGGAGAACTTGAATGAAAAGACCCTGGAATTTCCCCACAAACTCTTCCTGGACTCCAGCTCACGCGGAGTTCCTGGCCCAGGCTTCTCAGTGAGACACACAGGTCCCATTGTAGGTTTTCATTCTGGGGTGATGTGGAGCCAGTGAGTGTGATCCCCAGAGTCGGCAGTGAGGAGTGTTGACGAGACTGGTTGTAATTTGCCCTCATCCCGTCCTTGGTCATAAGTGGCGTTTGAACTGGTTTCATCGGCTCAGCCTTCAGATGGGATCGAGCCTGAGTTCTTCCTCTTGGCTGGAACAGGTACTGAAGAAAGCACACTGTGTGTTCAAGGAGACGTGCTAGAGAGTTGGATGCAGCCCCGTGGAGTGAGCGGTGGCTTCACATTTGCCTGTCCGGTGCTCGGCCTGGTGACCGAGAATTGGGTTCCAGGGTTGGCAGTGCCTTTTCCACTTCCTGGCCTTCAGCTCTCGCTGAACGAGAGTGAGGTGCTCACGCCTCGGTGTCAGGGGAGCCTGGAGGGCCTCTGCTTTGTTGCTCAGGTCGCATTTCAGGGAGACCGCGGTCCTGTACCACCTCCCTCCCCAACATTGTCGTCCCAGCAAAGCATGGCGGTCAGGCTCCTTTCTCGGGGCAAACTCCTCCGATGGTTTAGCTCTGCGTAGTTTCATGCCAAAAACATTGGTTGTTAACAATGAAAATATTTGGTCCCTTCCTGAGAAGGTAAGAGAATTCCTATAAATTTTGCTTATTAAAGAAGTATTTTCTAGAGCCAGTGCTAAACCTGTTTTCCTCATATGGGCTGAGTTGTCATTTTAAACCGTAACCCTGAACTGAAATTTGGGTGGTAAAAGTACCGTGGGAAACTGACATTTCATGAACTGCTCTCTCTTGTCTAGACCAGCATGTTTTGGAAGTTTGATCTTCACTCATCCTCCCACATAGACACCCTGCTAGAACGAGAGGATGTAACGCTGAAGGAGTTAATGGATGAGGAAGATGTTTTACAAGAATGTAAAGCCCAGAACCGCAAGCTTATAGAGTTTCTGTTAAAAGCAGAATGTCTTGAAGATTTAGTCTCCTTCATTATAGAAGAACCACCTCAAGACATGGACGAAAAGATCCGATACAAGTAAGAACATTCCGCCGTCTCTGTGGGGTGGCAATTTAGGTCATCAGCGCTCTTCCCTGTGCACCAGGCCTGCGTTGGACCTCTTCCTGGGAATTGGCACTGGCCACGTGACAGCCTTGGTGGGGACGTGCACCTAGTTACTAGACTTCAGCCCAGTGAGAGCACCGGTGTAACAAATGAGTGTCCCCAAGGACAGAGGGCTTTTATGCCCAGTGACGTCTGGCTTGAGGGCAGTGATGCTCACCAGGCCCCGCCCCAGTCTCCGTCAGTGATGTGTGCCGAGGAGCATCGTGGCCGTAGAAAAAAGCCCCTGCCTTCTGGTGACTGAGAACCAGCCTCTGGTGGTCAGTGGGCTCAGGACCGCCCCCAGTGTGGCCCCCTCCCAGCACAGCATGTCTGCCCTGCATACCCCACCCAAGCCTGAAACAGGAAGCCCCTGGTGACATTTGCTCAGTGCACTTAGAGTGATGTGAAGTTTGACCAACAGGAAGAGCTGTGGCTTCTAGGAGAGTCACCTTTGTGCTTTCTCCCACCCCCCACTTTTCAGACATCTCTTCATTTCTGGGGAAATCGGGCTTATCAATGATTCCAAGTCACTGGTGCCTTTTTCTTCAGGACGTCATCTTTTCTGCCAGCCTTTAAGATTGACAGCTAGCATCAGTGGCAGCTTCAACTCAGGAGGAGGAGAAAGGGTTGTCAGCAGAAGGCCAGCGTGCACAGAAAGAGAGTCTCTGTGCTGGGATTCCCTCAGCACATGGTGAAGGCCCCGGCAGGAAGGGCCAGAGTCTCTGGATCCTGCTTCCTCCCATGCGGGTGAAGTAGAGGGCAGACTCACCCTAGCCCATGGGCTCACTGCACTAGAGAGAAGTACCCCAGCCCCCGCACTCGCTGGCACCAACTGTTGGAGCAGCATCGCCTCGTGCCACCCTTGACAAAGCATGAAGTGCTTCACTGGCCGCACGGCCTCTGGCCTGGGCAGTGCCACGGATGGTGTACTCCCGTCCCTCGGGGTCGAGGTCAGCCAGCACAGCAGGCTCTGTTCCCATGGACCCTGAGGCTTTCCAGGGTGAGGCTGGGCTGTAGTCAGGTCAGGGAGTGTGGACATGGCCATTTCTGGAGGGCTGGTGAGTGGTGCAAACCCCACAGTTAAATGTCCAGTTGATGGATGGGGAGCCCATTGTAGCTTTACTTAATTCTCCATGACCACTTTAGGGAATTGTTTTTTTAAACTTAGTGACAAGCAGCATATTTTACCACTTTAAACAATTGACACGGACTTTAACCCAGGAGGTCATTAATTAGCCGTCGACATCCTGGGGCTTAGACTTGCAGGTGCCATAGTCTGATGGGTTCAGGGTCGGTGATCCAGCACGTACTTGATAAGTGAGACCTATTGATGGAACACATGCTTGTTGAGTGTCTGGTGTCCCAGGCACAGTCTGGGTCTTGGCGTTTCAGTCCAGTGGGGTGAGCTGGACCGGGGAGTGAGCTCACTGTCCTGACAGGAGCCTTGCTGCAGCTCACAGCAGTGTAGAGGAGGAAGGGCAGTGAGGACAGGGTCACTGGATGGCGCTATCTGTTCCGAGGTGTCGGGAGGGCGGGGGGCAGGATTCCATGTGGGTTTGGGAGTGGAGCTTGGCCAGCAGAGCAGCCTGGGCGAGGACAGAAGTGTGGGGTGGGTGGTGCAGTGCCCACAGGCTCTGGCCAGGACTGGGGCTGTTCTCAGGAGAGAGTGGGAGCCATTGGGGGTTTTTAAGCAGTGGGTGACATGAGTGCTGACAGTGGCCCCCGGAGGACCGACTTCCCCTCTGGGTGTCATTTAGGACGTAGCAGTAACAAGCATAGAAGGAGAAGGTGGTAGTGGTACTGGTTAGTGAGAAATGGCCTGGCCTGGACCTTATTTGGAAGAGTTAAACGACAGACTTTCTGCTTCTGTAAAGAGTTACTGTCTGAACTGAAAGCAATGATCGACACATAACCACCCCCCATCCCCAGGGGAATGGACAACAGAAACCGTAGGGAAGGGAGATAGTGGTCGGTGTAAGATAGGGAAATAATAATTTATAATTTATCGAGGGGTCAGGAATGTGGGAGCGGGGAGGGAGGGAAGGAAAAAAGAGGAGCTCATATCAAGGGCTCAGATAGAAAGTAAAGTTCAGAAAGTAATGATGGCAACATGTACAAATGAAAAAGAGTTAGGATCTCAGAAACCCCCCCAGGGGCAGTTCTGCCCTGCCCTGTAGGGTCCCCATCAGCTCCCTGGCAGCGAGTTTTCATTTTCCTTTTAAGACTGTGGGTGGGTGGTAGGGAAGGGCTTTTTTAATGCCGTTGGAACTAAAAGGGGGTTCTTGGTGGAAGAGGACTGGAGTGAGACTGGAGACGGAGGTCAAGGGTTTGACCTGGACTTTGAAGGGTGGGGGTTTTTGGTGGCCCTGGGAAGATTAGAGCGGACAAGGTCCTGGAGGGGCACCTGGGAGCTGGAGCTGCAGTGGTCAGTGAGATGGCCTTCGGCCAGAGATGGGGAGGTGGTGAGCCGTTCAGTGGCCGTGGGAATCTGGAAGGCAGGGTAGAGGGCATGGCTGGCGCTCAGACTGGGTGGTGAGCCTAGCTGTGGAACCGCTGCAGGGGGAGGTGAGCCTCGCAGACTGAGCTCTGAGACCTTCAGGGGGGTCATGGCCCTCACAGAGGGCCCCAGAAGGCGTGTCTGGGAGGGTGAGGAGAACCTGGGGGGCAGGGTTAGAGTCCTGAGAGCCCAGGGAAGCCGATTTCAGGAGGCCCAGAAGGGGTGGGGTCCGTGCTGGTGTGAAGACTAGCAACTTAGGGCCCTGTCGGGTCCTGCCTTTGGAGCAGGGAGGGGAAGTCTGGCTTGGCGTAGCAGAAATGGCTCTGTCAAAGGGTTCGTCCCCGTGAGGGCACTGAGGGGTGAGAGAATGTCTCCCTGCCAGAGACATGCTAGAGAACACTGACATGCTGGTGGGGGGTGGGGTGGGCTGGGGCAGGTGGACAATTGGCATCCAGAGGACAGCGAGCGATAGCTTTAGGAGCAAGGACAGCTGCCTTATTAGGTTCCAGGGGTGGCCACAGGGGGTGGGGGGGCGGCGGCGATGCTCCAGGGCCATGCATCTGAGAATGGGGGATGGGGTGAGGTTGGTTCGGGAAGCTTATTTCCTGTTTGGGACGGAGGAGCCCAGCCAGCCCAGAACTCGGAGCCTGGTGTTACTTCCTGCTCAGGCCCCACGAGCTTGCCTCCCAGTCCCCAGGACCCTCGTAGACCTCCCCCATCAGAATCAGACTGGCTGCCAGGACCTGTGTGACCTTTACTCCACTTTTATTTGCCTGTAGCTTCCTGGCGAGGCCCATTGAGAGCCTTGCCTGCAGAAGCAGCATTGACGGCATTTAATAGTAGACACGGCGAGGACTACAGGCCAGGCCCTCTTCCCAGAGGCAGACTGAGTGCTGCCCATGAGGGACCCGAGGTCCTGCAGCGTGCAGTCTGTATGATAGCACACATTCTAAGGGCTCTGCCAGGCCTGTGGCCTCTTGTAGTTGGTTTCCACCCATCTCCGTGTGTGCGAAGTGCCTCGTTGGCACACCCTATGTGAGGAGAGATAGAGGGGTGGGGGTGGAATTTGAACCAGGAGAGGTGACTCCTGAAGCAGTATCTCTGCCAGCAGCATCACCTTGCTCCTGGGGTGACTGCGTCTTTGAATGTCTGTGCCCCATCAGTGAGGGGCCCTTTTCCGCCATCAAGCATGAGCCCCCAGAAGACCTCAGCATGCCAGCATCATCCTCATGCCCATACACTACACCATTTGCAGCCCGACTAACAGTACAGGCGGTTGTTGGGCCTGCCAGTTGACCGTGAGGTGCCAATAAGGTGCAGTGTGCAGTTCGGTGTCCTGAGAGCAGCACCCTGCATTGCCCTGGAGTGCTGCTGCCTGCTGCTCCTAGAGGTCCCTGTCTGGGCTCTGCCCCCTGCCCCTGGCTGACTGCCCACCAGAGGCTCTAGGCACACTCTAGTTCTGTCATGGCAGCTTGGCTTCAGGCTCCTCCTGCCACGATGTCTGGCACGGCAGAGAGCCCACCTCTGTCTGGCCAGAAAGAGGCCCTGTGGTGACTTCATGGGGAGAATTGTACTGTTTATACAAGGTCTCCGCATCTTCCTGCCAGGGGTTCACCTTGTACCGGGAGTCATTCTGCCCGATGATGCATGTATCTGTGTCCTGTCCTTCCAGGTATCCGAACATATCCTGTGAGCTGCTCACTTCCGATGTTTCCCAGATGAATGACCGGCTCGGGGAAGACGAAGCCTTGCTTGTGAAATTGTACAGCTTCCTCCTCAATGATTCCCCCCTGAACCCACTACTTGCCAGTTTCTTCAGCAAGGTGCTAAGCATTCTCATCAGCAGAAAGCCCGAGCAGGTAAACACTGTTTTCCGGGTAAGCGTTATGGCCCAACATCCTCTGAGGTGACGGATGCCCCATAGCTTGGTTCTGAGTTAAAAGTTCAGGCTCTAAGAGAAGGTGCGTTGCCGGCCCGGACATTGGTCAGCAGACTCCTGTGTGTGTTCATGAGTGGGGATGCACTGAGCCCTCACACCTCACACCCCTGTCAGCACACCCTGGAGGCTCCTCCTCAGATCCGTCAGAAGGTGTGGTTAGGGTATGGGGAGCCCTGTGGAGACATTAGCTCCTGGCCCACCCGCCCTCAGCGGTAGGTCTTTGGTGTAGGGACTGTTTCTTGTTCTCGCTCATCTTTTGTGCTAAGGTGGACCATGTGTGAAGCTTTCCCTGAGTGTAACTTCTACACATGGTGATGGTTTCCCTTCTGGTCCTGCCCCCAAACTGAGATGCTTAGCTGAAGGGTTCATCACTTCCTGGTAGCTCACTCTTGCAGCCACACCTGTCCTTGAGCCTCCGTGTTGGTCCTAGCTCATGTGCTTGGGACTCGGATTGACCAAGTATCCCTTGTTTGTTCATCGGCTCCCAGAATGTGGTCCCTGCCCCAGCAGCAGCAGCACCTGGGCACTTGTTAGACGTGCAGGCTCTTGGATCCCCCTACAGACAGACCCACTGGATCGAAAACTAGCAGGGTTCAGGTAGAGCCTGCACTCTGGGTGTTGAGGAAGCCGTCTGGATTATTCAGTGTGTGTCAGTGCAGGAGAGCCACCACTCTAGAGGCTGTTGGTGTGACGAGGGGTCTGCTTGGCAGGAGAACATAATCCATTTAGGGGAACAGGTACCCAAGGGACACCCCAGCTTCAGACGCTCAAGTGCACGGTGGCCAGCCGCGACATCTGCAGCAGCATGGGGATGAGCGCTCAGCAGCCCCTGGGAGCAGGGATCTTTCTACCCACGGGGCTGGCTGCTCCCCACAAGGCACCAGCTACCCCTTGGACAACAAATGAGGCCTGCTGCTCCCTGGGGGCCCTCTGGGCAGCCTCTAGTGTCCCTGAGTCAGAATCGACTCGGCTCGCATGTTTTTGAGTTCAGGTTCTAGAGGGACACAGAAAAGAGGGAGCACTTGACTAGATAGAACAGCGGTTCTCAACCTGTGGGTCGCGGCCCCTTTGTGGGTTGAACAACCTCTTCACAGGGGCCACCCAATTCATAACAGCAGCAAAATGACAGTGATGAAGTAGCAACGAAAATAATTTTGGGGGGGGGGGGGTCACCACACGAGGAACTGTATGAAAGGGTTGCGGCACGAGGAAGGTTGAGAACCACTGAGATAGACCGACACAGTGGCCGCAACCACGGGTTCTCACCCACAGCACCGATGACGAGGGTGGCCCAGCACAGGGCAGTGTTTCATTCTGCTATGCACAAGTCAGAATCCTCTCCCGGGGTCCTGTCTGAGGAGCCCCGTGGCAGAGTTGAGTGTGCCTGACTGTGTCGTGCTTGTCATGGGCCAGGTCCCCGTGCGTCATGCCCCAGCAGAAAGGTGGGAGCCTGGAAACCCTACGGGCTGGTTCACCTCTGTCCTGCAGGCCCCTGGGCATGCTCGGTCCTGTGCCAAGGCCAAGTGGATCCAGCCTTTGTCTAGGAGGATTCTTGCCCGCTCAGCTGGGCCAGGATCGCCTTCCTGAAAGTATGCTATGATAGTACCCAGTCACAACGACCGACCTTGAGAGAGGACACCGTGCTTTCCCCTCTGCTCACCTCAGAGCCAGGCCTGGCCAGCCCCTCCCTCAGAGATGGCTATTGCTGTCACCATGACTGGTGCCTTCTGGCTTAACTAAGGACCTGCCTGAGTATAGCAGTGTTCAGCTGCAGGGCCAGGTGAGCAGCTCCTCAGACATGGTCATCCACCATCCAGGTGCTTCTGCCCCTACTGACCCACCACAGTGTCAGCTGGCATGTGTGCCTTTGGCTCCATGTCCCATGCCATCTGCTACTGGGCCCATGGCCGATATGGTCACATGAACCTTTTCCTCCTCCTCTTGGTCCCCGTGAGACCACTTGTGATTGTATCATGACAAAACACAGGTCCAAGACAACGTAGGACCACATAAACCCTGTTGTCTGGAGAGGCCGTCTGTGATGGTGAGCCCAGTGTCACCCCTGTGCTTAGGTCTCTTTGCGGGACGGGAAGGTCAGGGTACTTGGGGTTTATACACATTGCAGTCATTCCCAGGGTGGCCCCTGTTTAGCTCCAGTGTCTTGCCTGCGTGGGAGCCCTCTGTCTTTCCCCGTGCTGCTGTTCCTGGGACTGGGGCTGCTGCTAAGTAGACAGAACAGAGGGCCCACAAAAAGCAGGGGGCCAGGACGGAGAACAGCAGAGAGAAGAGGCCCTGACTGAGGACGTAGTCAGCTCAGCACCACACTTCAGTGTCCCCACCCCCCGGGTGAAATCCTGGTATGATTGGGAGGTAGCCTCGCTGACCAGAGCAGTCTTAACTTTCTGAGCCTGTGTTCCCTACTGCTAGAATGTAATATAGAAATTGGAGCTGTCTCCTGTGTGCCCGTGGGCCATCTCGTGGACTTCTCTCACGTCCATGAGCTGTTTTTAATGGGCGTCTTGCTCTTTCTGGGAGCATTGCCATTTTGACCCCTATCTTTAAGAAGTGAGTAGAGAGGCAACATTATGTGGTGTCTGTAATGGGGAGGGTGGGGGTGGTGACAGTCGGGAGGTCTTGTATTCTTTTTTTTTAAGTAGAAAGATAATGTTTTTAAAAATGATGATGGCAACATGTGTACAAGTGTGCTTGATAGAATTGGTTTATGGATTGTTATATGATCTCTAAGAGCCCCCAATAAGATGATTTCAAACAAACAAACAAACAAACAAGCCATCAAGATTAAAACAGTTGCCTCAGTACTATGAGCTGACTTCTTTGCCTGGAATTTCCCTGACCCGGCAGATCCCTTCAGAAGCCACTGTTTTGACTAGACCCTTTTTTGGTTTTTCGCCGCTGCGTGGCGCGCCCCCCCCCCCCCCAACTTTATTTATTTATTTATAATCATTTTATTAGGGGCTCATACAACTCTTATCACAATCCATACACACATCAATTGTGTAAAGCGCATCTGTACATTCATTGCCCTCATCATTCTCAAAACATTTCCTCTCCACTTAAACCCCCCGGCATTCGGTCCTCATTTTTCCCTTCCCTCCCCGCTCCCGCCTCCCTCATGAGCCCTTGATAGTTTATAAATTGTTATTTTGTCATCTCTTGCCCTGTCCGACGTCTCCCTTCACCCACTTTTCTGTTGTCTGTCCCCCAGGGAGGAGGTCACATATAGTTCCTTGTAATCGGTTCCCTCTTTCCTACCCACTCTCCCTCTACTCTCCCTGTTTCGCCACTCACACCACTGGTCCTGTAGGGCTCATCCGCCCTGGATTCCCTGTATTTTCAGTTCCCTTCTGTACCAGTGTACATCCTCTGGTCTAGCCAGATTTGCAAGGTCGAATTCGAGTCATGGTAGTGGGAGCGGGGAGGAAACCTTTAGGAACTAGAGGAAAGTTGTATTTCTCATCGTTGTTACATCGCACCCTGACTGGCTCGTCTCCTCCCTGAGACCCCTCTGCAAGGGGATCTCCAGTGGTCTGCTCATGGGCTTTGTGTCTCCACTCCGCACCCCACCCCCCACCCCCCCATCATTCACTATGGTAAGATTTTTTGTTCTGATGATGCCTTACACCTGATCCCTTCGACACCTCGTGATCACACAGGCTGGTGTGCTTCTTCCATGTGGGCTTTGTTGCTTCTGAGCTTGATGGCCGCTTGATTGCCTTCAAGCCTTTAAGGAGGTCTTGTATTCTAAGGGAGCTTTTGAACACGGAGCTCTTCAGCCAAGATTTCCAATTCTACCTCTTGGTAGGGCGTTTGCTGCTACTGGGATCTGGGAGTGGGCAGGGCACTGAAGACGTGGCAGTCCCCGTGGTCCAGCTCTCAGCTTCTGGTTGTTCTCTAGATTGTGGATTTCTTGAAGAAGAAGCGCGACTTTGTCGACCTCATCATCAAGCACATAGGGACGTCAGCCATCATGGACTTGCTGCTCCGGCTCCTGACGTGCATTGAGCCGCCCCAACCCCGGCAAGACGTGCTTCATGTGAGTTAGCCTGGCCCTGGGCCCCAGGGAGGGTGGCAGTTCTCACGAGCTGTGGGGCAGGAAGGCACGCTGACTCTGGGCAGTGGTTCTTGGGGCTGTGCAGGCAAGAGCAGGTGGGTGGGATCCCTCCCTCTCTCTTCTGTCCCTCAGCCCCGCCTTCCAGAGCTAGTCCTCAGTCCATCCCATCTTTAATGTTCAGTCCATTTTGTCTTTAACATCCGGTACATCCCATCTTTACTATCCAGCCAGGAACCTTCGAGCATTGTCATTTCTTAGTAAGTCGTAATTTTAAGTGAAGGCCTGAAGGGCCTGAAGGGGAGAGGAGGGCCCGCAAGAGAGGAGAGGCTCTCCTTGGAGTGTGTGGTGATGCTGGCACCATAAGGTGGGGATGCGTCAGGTGACCCAGGCCTAAAGGCTCTCCTCAGAACTGTGGATCATTAACCAGGAGAGAGGGAGACACTTGATCCCTAAGAACCAGGGCTGGCTCATCTGGGATTTTGGGTTGTTGGGGGAAGTAGCCATTTTTGACTAGGCTTCTGCTGGAGTGTGTGCTGGGGTGGAAATTCCTTTCGGTAACTTACAGGTTGAATTTTGGGAATTCCCGTTGCCAAGGGAATAGATGCATCCCTAAAGGGAGGGCCCTGGGGACAGGTGGTGTTGGAGGAGGGTGACTGGCTCACTCGGATTTGAGGGCAGCCACATTGGACGAGTCCAGGAGTGGCCTTGGAGCAGAGGGGCTTGTTGGACTGACTTGCTTGCTGCCCACCAAGGTGTTTACTGCCCTCAGTTTTCGGGCGTGGCTGCTCAGAGTGTGATCCCTGAGAGTCCTGGGCAGCACCTGGTAGAGAACAGGAGACCCAGGCTTGTGTCCCTGTGTGCAGCTGAGGCAGGGCTGCGACGATGGGCTGGCCCTCTTCTCCTGTGAGCCCTCCTGACTCAGGCTGGCCTAGGCTGGGAGATGTCCCAGGGCTGAGACTCTACAGTTGGGCTTTCTTGGAGCCTCTGCCCTGACTCCGTCCTAGTTCCTTTAACCTTTAGGGCTAGGGGGCACCTTTCCATGTGTGAAGCCCCTTGTTTCCTGAGGTGCGTCAGCTGGGGGGTCTGCAGTAAGCCAGCAGACCTTCTGTGGTCTCTTGTTCCTTGTTCCAAACCAGGGACCAAGCCGTCGTGAGGGTCCCACTGCTGCCTCAGTTTCAGCATGGGGGGGCCCTTTGCTTATGCTCCAAAAAATTTTGATATGGAAAAACAGATTCCCCAGTTTTTCTGTTTAGTCTGAAGCTCTGTAAATTCCCCAAGACCACTAGCTCTGAAAATGCTATCATTTTATTCATCGAAGTCAGCAGTGCTCACCTTGCACAGTGCTCCACGCTGACTCCAAGGAGACAGCACAGCCCTGAGGCCCCAGAGCTCTGTGCTGGAGTCAGAAAGTGACACGTGCTTGTTTTCTCCATCGTCAAGGTCACGTTTCTCATGCTTTCCTAATTCAGAATACAGACTTGTGAGCTGTATCAGTTCTTTCTGCTCTTCTCAGTTCCCTCCTTCCCACACCGTAGCCCTTTCGTGCTGAGTTGGAGTGCGCCCCACACTGAGAGGCCAGTGTGTAGACTTCTAGTGTGGCGTGATACTTGGGGGGATGTTGGTCACTGTTAAACTTGCTGCAGCACCACTGGGGGTGGGGGGGGCATTTTCCTTGGGGGACTTGGACTCTACTTAAAAGACGACGGCAGTGTCTGTGGGGCGTGGTGTGGGCAGTAGTCCTGTTGTTATGGTTACCCACGTGTGTTTTGCAGTGGTTAAACGAGGAGAAGATCATCCAGCGGCTAGTGGAGACCGTCCACCCATCCCAAGAAGAAGACGTAAGTTCTGCTCATGGAACACTGGAGCGTTCCAGGGGGCTGGTGTCCTTGGCCCAGCCTGATCGGGAGCCGTGTAGCCTCCTTCCGGAGGCAGGGCAGGAGGACAGCCGGGGTCTGAGTCCTGGAAATTGGCAATTTGCTAACCTTGTCAAAGCTAATACAGAGTCTAGGAGTACGTCCATACCACAGGGGTACACATGCACCACGTGGCCGCTGATGGCCCTGGAGGCTGAGCTGATTTCTATGCTGCCTGGTGAGGGGGTTCCTGGTATGTGCGTCACCCTTCCTCAGGACCCATTATTGCCCGGCTTGGGGTGGGGGGTGGGGGCATGGCAAGAGAGCCCCTGGACCGGCCAGTTGTCCAGTGGAGCTGCTAAGGCCTTTCCACTTGTCCACGTGTGGAGCCCTCTGAGAAGCAGGGACGAGGCCTGTGCTGGGAGGATTGGGAATGAGGTTCATCAGCACTGGGGTCACGTGCTCGAGGAGGCACTGGATGGCCTCACAGGGTGGTGTAGCTGTGGGCCAGCCCAGTGCGCAGTGAAGAGGAAGCTTCTCAGCAAGGCCTGTGAGAAGGCAGAGCCTCCAGGATGGCTCTGCCACCAGGGAGATAGATGCCCCCTGGACAGCCTGTAGGTTATAGAAGGAGCCCCGGTGGCACAGTGGTGACTTTGAGCGCCAAAGAGGAGGCTGGGTTTTGGCCCTGCTGCAGTTAGGGTTGTGGTCAGTGGCAGGTTAGGGTGATACAGGCTGGTTTATGGAAATGGGAGGCTCTCGGTCCGAAGCAGTAGCCTCAGCAGCCCTGGGGTGTTGGGTCACCTCTGCTGGGATATCAGCATCCTGCCTCTACCGGGACCACAGGAGAGCCCCGTGAGCGGGAGTTTCTCAGGGCCCTCAGGGTTTCACCTGACTCTTACTGGGTTCTTTCATAGGAGGTAGAACACTCCACTTTCTGTGATAAGTTTAACCTGTAACATGTTTTATTGTTAACGCTGACCTTTTCCCTGCAGAGGCATTCGAACGCATCCCAGTCCCTCTGTGAGATTATTCGCCTGAGCAGAGACCAGATGCTGCAGGTTCAGAGCAGCACGGAGCCCGACCCCCTGCTCGCCACTCTGGAGAAGTATGTGCTCGGCCGAGGTCTCAGTCCTTGTCTTGTTGCTCCTGGGGGGCCTCCCCTGTGAGTGGTTGGCAAGAGTGCTGGGATCACGTCTCTGGAGAGTCACCTGGAATGGCTGAGGTTGTGTGGAAACCTGCTTGTCTGAAACAGGCTTGGGTGCTGCCACCTGGAGGTTTCCGGGCCAGAAGGTAAACGTTGCCGGCCGGCAGGACTGATGGGAGGTGGGCCCAGCTCTGCCCTGGCCCGGCCCTCTCCTGGCAGAAACCATGGGGGCAGTCTGATGGAAGTGAAGCATTCTGTCCTGTTGTAGGACTTCTGCCCTTTTCTTGGGGCGGGGAGACCACTGAGAGATGGTGCTGCCTGGCGGTTTGTGAGCGAGACCCTGTGGTTTCGGAAAGCAACCGTGCTCGAAGCCTGAGCTTGCTTGTGCTTCATTGTGAAATGAAAATACCAAGCTGACCTATGTGAGGAATTGTTGATCTCTGTGCCACCCCGCCCTCCTCCAGCCAGTGTTTTCTACATAATGATGTACCACCCTAAGCAGAGGGAGCAATATGTAAAAGCAGGCTGTGTGTTATAATAACGCTAAGCCTTGCCCATTTGGGACCAGCCTGCCTTTGCTCTGAGGGATGTGACGGAGTCGGGGTGCTTGTGGAGTGGGTCTTGAGTTATCTCATCTCTTTGGAGGTGCCAGCAGCCCGAGAAGTCAAGCTGCAAGGAGATGGCCTGAGAGCGGGCCTTTCCTCCAGAGCGGCTGTGGTGGTAGGGCTGTGACCTCAGCAGAGGCAGAGAACGCAGACAGCTGAGCGTTACTGTGGTGGAGAAAACCAGTCCGCTTGTGTCGTCCCAGCACGCCTTCCTCGCAGTCATTACCAGGATGATACAGATCACCTTGCTCAGCTGGAGTGGCTGGCTGGCTTCAGCTGGGCCCCCACTGTGAAATGGTAGCAGGGACCCGGTCAACCTATATGTCGAAGTTCCTCACTCTGGCTCAGCTCCCGGGAAAGCCTGTTCATTCAGAAATATGGGCAAGAGGGATTCCCTTGGCAGGTAGGAGGTGACCGGGCAGCAATGGGGGCGTGCACCAACCTGCTGTAAGCAGAAGAGAAACCTTTTCCCAGCTTGTAGACTGGCAGGCGTGAGCCTTGTTCAACTGCGGCAGCGGCGCAGTTCAGAGTGATGGCCAGCTTTGGAGTTGAGCGCCATTTCCCTTGGCCGCTTGAGTGCTGTGGGCATTCATCCTGCTGGGTGTCCGGCTGCGGGGTCACAGAGGAGCTGCCCCACTGGGGCACTAATCAGTGCATTGTGAGTGAGTCCAGCCAGAAGACATTGCTGCTGGTGACATCACATGGTCCCCTCCAGTGCTGTCTCTCAGGTGGCAGAAGAGCCCGTGGATGGGTCTTGCCGTTTTATTTTATGGTTATATGATCACTAGACAATGATTCCTGGGCTGTCCTCCACCCACACCCATGGCATACAAAATCTTGGAAAAACAGTGAATTTTCCGCTCAGAACCAAACCCACTGCCATTGAATTGATCTTGACTCAGGGTGGCCCACATTGGGCAGAGTACAGCTGCCCCTGTGGATCTTCAAGGCTGTAGATCTATTTCTCCCAGGAGCAGTCAGTGTATTCAAACAGCTAGACCTCGTAGTTAGCAGTGCAACGGAGAACCCAGGGCACACTGCTTTAGACCAGCCACGTGTGGGGTGCCTTCTAGTGGGTGTGCAGCGAGATTGTTTGGGTTAGTAGGCAGTACGAGTTCTAAGAGCCTCTGCAGCCTCCCCACCGCAGCCTGCCTGCCTGCTGTCTGCCCTCTGCCTCTCTCATGTTCCAGTTGGAGTGAAGGCCCAGCACTTAGGCTGTTAGACTGGGTCAGAGTTGGGCCCTGTGATGTTACCATGCAGCACCTCGAAGGTGCTCAGCAGGGAGGGCGGAGACTTGGTCTGCAGCACCGTTTCCCTGGCGCCCTTCCAAATGGCACCCCCTAGCGGACAGGTAGACCTCATATTTCACCAAAAGCGAAAAACACTCAAACCAAACCCACTGTTAGCAGTGGATGCCAACTCATAGTGACACTGTAGGAGAGGGGAGAAACCAGCCCTGTGGGTTTCTCAGACTAACCTTGGACGGATGCGAGCAGAAAGCCTGGTTGCACTTGATGAGACTACAAACGACACAGTGGCACCAGGTCCACGGGACTGACGTGTCGAAGAGGATGCAAAGTGTGGCGTTAGCTCGGGAAGGAGCCAGGGCCTCACCTCTGTGTGGCCGAGTGGCTCTGAGGAGTGTGTAGATGCCCAGTGCTTGACCAGCAACATTTGGGCCGGAGAGGGCTGTGCGCCTTGCCGTTCCTGACTCGAATGCTCTTTGTGGGGGGAAGCTCTGCTCTGGCCTCTCAAGGGACCTGGCGGACCATGGGCGGCCCTGGTCCTTGGCTCAGCACTCGAGCTCTCGGTTTCTTGGGTACTTGGTGGGACTCGGGACACAGCACAGCTACCGTTCAGCCATGTTTGTCCCTCCGACTGGACTGGTTTTCCTAGTGTTCTCATCAGTCAGCCCAGTGCCAAGACGTGGTCAGAGTCGTTGGAGGGTGTCTGGGCATCCTCAGGGAGGTCCTGTCCTAAGTAAGGCACATGACTTCTGAGCGTCACTGAGAGGCTGGGGCTGGCGGAGGAGCCAGCAGAGGATGCCTGGTTCTCTCCTGGCACTCTGCTGGGTTTGCTGCAGTTTTAACTGTGGCAGCAGTAGATGTTCTCCTTTTACCTGTCTGTCATGATGCTATGAGGGAAACCTTGGAGGGCTGTTACTGAGCTTTCGAAGGTTTTCAATCTTTGTCTCATGCAACCTGGGTGAGAGGTGCCTTTGAATCTGAAAATAATTCTTGGCTCTGAGCAAGGTTGGCAAAGGCAAGCAGAACCCAGGTCATTTTGTTGAGGGAAGTGGGCAGGAACATCTCTAAGGAGCTGGCTAGCTGTGTGCATCTCTACCTGGCATGGTGCATTAAGCATTGGACTACTAACAGGTAGGGCAGAGGTTCAGACCTACCAGCCACGCCTCAGTAAAACAAGCCAGACTGCTCTCTTAAAGATTCACAACCTTGGAATGGGTGAAGTGGTTTTGCGCTGTCCTGAGTCAGTGTCAACTTGATGGCAGTGAGTTTGATTTGAGCCTTGGTCCTTGTTTCTAACTGTATGTGCCTGTGTATGTGAGTAGTTACGTAAGCAGGACCATTTACCTGCCTACTTTAGTGATCGCGTTCAGAATACGCTCTTGTGGTGCCAGCGAGGTGGATGCCTGTGCAGCCAGCGTGTGTGCTCCATGTGCCAGGCCCGTTTTCTCGGGGTCCTCAGTGTCACTCACTGTTGCACTTGGGCCTTGACTGTGGCTTTGTTTCCTAGGCAAGAAATCATAGAGCAGCTGCTCTCCAACATCTTCCACAAGGAGAAGAGCGAGCCGGCCATCGTCAGCGCCATCCAGATCCTGCTGACGCTGCTCGAGACGCGGCGGCCCACGTAAGCTCGCCGTTCCTCCTGCTGTGTTTGGCTTCGTGGTTTTCCACCAGTGCCCCTGCACGTCAGGAGCTGAGAGTGTTTCTGCTGCTTTAGCGCTGAGCTCTGGTGCATGAGACAGGTAGGGGCGGGGGTATCCAGCTGAATGTGCACTCGAGGGAAGCGTGACCAAGCTCATGGCCAAGGGAAGCTGGCTCTGGTGTTCTGGTCGGTGGACTGCTCTCCAAGTGCTGGTTCAGGGTCCAGACTCCCCATCTGTGGATCTCAGGGATGCCGACAGAGGCCTTCCGGTGGTCTTTTCCTGGTTCGACCTGGAAAGGTGCTTCAGTTGGGGCCGTCGCTGGCTGGGTAGCTGCCTGGGGTCTCACAGAAGCATGTAGTGATGTCTGTCAGGCCCTCTTCATGGCGTGCTGGGTGCCGAGTAAGTGCCCATCGAGGCTTCACCCTGCACCTGATGCACGAGGGGCCAGGGAGGGAGGAGAGCCTACAAGGCATTTCTAGGACTGGAGTTAAAGACACATGTATGTCTGGACCCTCTTCATTCAATCAGGGAGACCAGGGCCTGAAGAGGAGTCAGGAGATGGGTGCTGCTCTCAACACATATAGAGCCTTGCTGGTCAGGATTTCTGTTCCACGCTCGGCCCCGTACCTTTGATCTTGAGCACAGCAGGTAGCCTGAGCAGCTCTGCTGGCAGCATCCCTCTCTGACCTCGGTTTCTGAGTCTGCCCTAAGTGGCTTGTACCTGTCATTGGATCTGGGCCTGTTTCTCTGGTGCTGTGATCAGAGGTGACTGTCTGGCTCCCGCTGGCAGGCGATGGCACCACCTTGTGAAGTGGCGTTAAAGCCGCAGAAGTGGTCCTGTGAGGTCCTCGTGGATGAGTGCGACTGGAGAAAGAGAGAGCAGAGCTCAACAGTCAGATTACAGCTGGGTTTCCAGAGGCCAGTGCATTCCTTTCTGTTAGAACTCAGCAAATTGAAAATGGGCCTTCGAGGCAGCCACTTCTGGCTAATCCTTCCTCACGATGAAAGACTGAAGTGCTTTCCTCTTCAAATTCGAGAGCATGGTAAGGCTCTTCTATATTCCTGCTCCTGTGTGCCCTCGTCCTGGAAGGCAGAAGAAAGACCAGGCATCCAGGCAGAGAGGTGGCTGGAGAACCACTGCACCCTAGCTGTTCCTCCCACCTGCCGCCACCGTGCGGCTCGGTGGACATGCACTTGTTGTCTTGTAAAGGGTGACTGTGGAGCGTACAGGCTGAGCTCTCCATAGAAGAATTGAAGGCTTTGAATGGGAAACTGGGTGATGGAGTAAAACCAAGTGTGGAGCAAGGGCAGGCCTTGTTCTTAACCTCCCAGTTGGCAGCCAGTAAGATGTGCCTTACAGTTCTGAATCTCCTGTGACTTCGCTTGTTTCCTGGTCATGTGGAGCCTTGCTTGCTATGAGTGTGCTCTCAGACGGAGTTGGGAGACGTAGGCAAAGGCGAGGGAAGCGCACAGAATTTCTCATCCGATGGTGTGGCCTTCCGTAGTTGAAGTCACAGAGGCTGATGGACACTTTATTAGCTCACCCTCTTCCTGCGTCTCCTCCTCAGAGGCAGAGATGCTCATCTTAGGGAGCCCTGGTGGCATAGTGGTTAAAGTTGGTCAGCAGTTCAAACCACTATTGAGCTCCATGGGAGAATTATGGGGCTTCCTGCTCCCGTCTGGGGGACTCATGGGCAGTTCCGCCTGTCCTCTGGGGAGGGCTGCCGTGAGTCAGCACCCGCTCCATGGCAGTGCATGGAGAGTTGCTACGAACTTAGGGCAGTGCACTAGGTTCGGTGTTGGACTACTAGCTGCTCCTGCAAAAGGTTCATACTCAAGGAAGCACTAGAGTGCAGCTCTGCTCTGCCCTGGAGGGTCAAGAGGAGTTGCAATCAATTGATGGCGCACTGGGCTTGGTTTTTGTTTGGGTGCCTGTGTGGCCGACAAGGGGTAGACACACACACTGAGTGACTGTGTGGTAAACTTCCAGTAAGTAAATGCCACTTGTTTTGTTTCAAGATTCGAAGGCCACATAGAGATCTGCCCACCAGGCATGAGCCACTCAGCGTGTTTGGTCAACAAGAGTGTTCTAGAAGCCATCAGGGGAAGACTGGGATCTTTCCATGAGCTTCTGCTTGAGCCCCCCAAGGTAAGTCTGCTATCCTAAGCACATCCGGCCAGCTTTGTCAGTTGACTTGTACAGGTGTGGGGAGCATGCAACCCCACTGAGCAGTGGCCCCTGAGGACACGCTGCCAGCTGTGTGCATGGCTGTAGATTCTGCCCAGCAGGGCCGGTTGTAACTGGTTGATTTTCTCGGTCACCCGAATTCATGGATGAGATAGAATAAAATTCAGCAAAATATTTATACCTGTGTGCAAAGCTCCAGTTTTTGCCCTTTCTGTTTATGAGTTCTTGGGTACTTCTTTGGCAGCAAGAGACCCTTTTGTTCTAGCCTGTTCCTCCCTGCCTGTGAGGGCATTGCACTCGGGAGCTGCAGAGCAGAGACAACCAGCAGCCCGTGAACAGATGGCTTGTTGGGGGGCAGAAGGGTGGCGCTGCCAGGGCGCTCAGCACAAACACACTTTGGGAGACGTGGCTCTGTAGCCTCTCACAGTCTGGGGTGGCGCAGGCCTTTGGGTGGCGCTTCTTTGGTGGACGGCCCGGATGGAGGAGGCTTCTGTCCAAAGCTGCACTCTCCATGCTTGCCTCTCTGCCCTGCCTCCGTCTGGCTCTGGGTCCTCTAGGGGTGTGGTGTGGGTCTCCCCGACTGGCTGCTGTGCGAGACCATTCCCCGCCAGCCTCTGGAACAGGTACGTTCTGCTCCTTGAGCCCTCCTGGGGAGAGGGAGCACAGAGGAACCCAGGGAGCCCCACTCACATCTCTGCCTTTCCACTTTCACGGGCAGCTTCTGGCCCCGGTTGTTGTCCATGCTGCCACCTGGTGGGGGGGCCTGCATAACCGCAGGAATCCCAATCCTACCAAGGAGTCCAAGTGGAACGTATACCCCCCCCCCCTCACACACACACACACAATTATACTCCAATCCGTTTAAAAAATGTTTCTCTTGATTTCAGTGTACCATCTGTTCTTGCAAACACCAGTTTGCCTGCCGTGCCTCCACTCTGGGCACTGTGTGCTGCTGTCCTGGGGAAGTGCCCCTGGGACAGGGAGCTAAGTTACAAGGGGACTAGAGAGTGAGGAAGACCTGAGGGAAGTAGGCGGGGTGGGGTGGGGGGGGTGGCCAAGAAACCTCTGAGACAGGGAAAGCTGCCTGCCTCGCTCACGTGGACTTTCACCTCCACCCCTCCTCCTGTGCCTTGGCGATGCGGCAGGTCTATGTGGACTTGGAGGACTAAGGTGGAGGGAGGGAGCTCCGGCTGCTCCTGATCATCTTTCTGCCAGAGCAGCTCCACGCAGCTGTTTGGAAGGCCTGTTCATGGGAGCTGTCTCCCTGGAGTGAAACGGAGCCTCAAGGAGGGTGGAGGGAGGGGTCTCAGGAGACGGGAAGGAGGAGGGCACCAGTGGGGTCGGGCGGGCATCAAGGGCAGCTTTGTTGTCGCTGTTCCCGTCAGCACCCCCCACGCTGACACCTTGTGTTCGGTTTTGGGGGGAACTCACTGTCATCCCTCACCTGGGCCAGGGCGAGGTTGAGGTTGAGCACATTGAAGGTTGTGGTCCTGAGACAACACCAGTGGGTTTTTCACGGAAGCTTCGACAAGGATGAGGACTGTTTGAGCACCTGGTCAGCATAGGGCTTGTGCACAGTCCTGCCCCGGGTGTGGGCTCTGCCTGCGTTCTGTGCAGTCCCTGGTGGTGGGGTGAGGGCAGGTGCTACTTCTGTAGAACCTGGAGGCCAGGGCTTTGACCTTGCTTGCTTTCTTCGGCATGAACGGCCTCAGGGTCCCTGCAGGTGGACACAGGGGCGGCCTTGCCTGTTTGTCGAGTCTAATGGGAAAGCTTGTTCTCCCGCAGAAGAGTGTGATGAAGACCACGTGGGGCGTGCTGGACCCTCCTGTGGGGAACACTCGGCTGAGCGTGATCAGGCTGATCTCCAGCCTCCTGCAGACCAGCTCCAGCGGCGTCCACGGGGACCTGATGGAGCTGGGTAGCATCGGGGTCATCCTGGTAAGACCCTCACCCCCACACACTGGCAGCATGTGCCAGTGACCCCTCACTGGACTCAGTCCCAAGTCGGTGCTGCCGGAAGTCAAATATCTCCTCTTCGTTTTTTCACTTTAAGCTTTTCAGGCTCTGCGTTTGTCTTTGGGGGCTGGAAAACCCTGCACCTGAGCTATGACACCAGCCAGTGGGACCCTGCTGCAGCCTTCCCTGTCCGTAGTAAGGGCTGTGGACTGCAGGATTTACAGACATGGGTATGGGGATAGCCAGCGCCTCTTCCTCCTGGCAGTCTCTGCTCCTGAGTGTGCTTCCTTACAACTCAAATCTGATTTAGGTTGGGAATTTCCCCTTGGGTGTAGCACCCAGTTTGCATGCTTATGAATTTTTACTCAGACGTCCTGACCTCTGGATAGGGGTGTTTTGGAGGGCCAGGGGGGTTTAGTGTTGCTTACTACCTAGTAGGCCGCTTAAGGAGTACCTTCTGTGCAGTTCTCCTGTGACCCTGGTGTGGAAGCCCTGGGCCCTGGTGTGGAAACCCGAGGTGCAGCAGAGGAGGGGTGAGCTCCATGGCTAGTTAGGGATCTCTCCCACCTAGGTTCACATTTGGGCAGGTTTTCTTGGGTCATGGGACTTTTTAGTCCTTAAGTCTCCTCACCCTTGGGTTGGGGGGTGGGGGTGGGGCTCCCTGACATCACTGGAGGTTACAGAGAGAGCGGGACCTTGAGAGAGAGAAACGTGTGAGGATTCCCAGCTCCTAGCTAACGTCCTCATGGCCCTCTGGGGACACCACGGCTAGCCTGGCTGCCAACTGGTGTATGGAACTCCAGGACTGGCAACGTACTCGTCCCTTGCCCCTGACTGGCTGCCCACTTGCTAGTCTGCAGTCTTCTGGCAGCAGGTGTACACACCGTGGCTCATTGATTCTGACCTAACCTGTAGAGCTGCGTTTAAATGACCGTGAATTTGAGAAGATGCCTGGCAGGGCCCGAGTCACTCGATTCCTGTTGAGTCTGCCGGCCTGACCTGGTGACCCCAAGTACATACTGTGCCTTCGGGAGCTGCCCTCCTGTGAGGCTGCTTCCTGGTCGAGAGGACCATGGGCCTTGTGAACCCTGGTGGCACTCTGGGATAAGCATGAGGAGGCTCAAACCCATCAGCTGTTGCACGGCAGAAAGATGAGGCTGTCTGCCCCTGGGTCAGAATTGACTCGGCGGCAGTGGGCTTTCGGTTCTTGTGTGAGACACGCTGTGGAGATCCTAGACACAATGATCGTGGTTCCTCTTGGTGACTGGCAGGTTGGCATGAATCCCTGACTCAGAACCACACCCCATGGGTCTCTAGAGAGAGAACTGGGGCGGACCCCCTTCTCCTGCATGGGGGCTCTCACGGGCGTGGGACCACCGAGCCCTCAAGACTTCCAGTCTGTGCTCACTGTAGCAACAGTGAGGCTTTTATGGATCGATTTTGCAAAATCAGTGCCCAAGCCCAGAGACAAATTGGGCAGAGGTGAGTGTGCCGCACAGTCTATCCTAAGCACGATAGCCTGCAGTTAGCAGCCCCCTCCCCCGGTTCCTTCTTGGCTGAGTGCTGTGGGACGAACCATTTTTCCAGAATGTCTACTTCTTTATTCTTTAAAGTTCCTTTCTCTGGAGCAGATCCCCTCCCCTCCCTCTCCTGCAGTCCATACCCCAGGTGCCTGGGCTCCAGTGATTGTCATACCAGCTGGCAACTGGTATCTGGCTACTTAATCGTGACTTAACTCCCTGGTTGCTGAAAGTGGACTAGCTGGGTGACTCATTTCTCACAAGGGGGCTGGGGCTCCAAGTCTCCACCGTGAAGCAAACAGGTCTGTGAGTTTTGGGTTTGCTTGGTTTTTCGCTTCTCTTATATGAAGTTGGGTGAAGGTTTACCGAGCAGATAGGTCAGTTTCCCATTCAGCAGTTCACACCTATCTTTGGCCTCAATCGTCACTGGGACACGACACTCAGTCCAATTCCTCCCCTGCTCCCCCAGCCCTGCCAGCTCACTCCTGTCCGTTTTGAAGACTTGAGTGGCCATGCCTCTCTGCATCCACGTGGTGCCTAGCCCAGATGCCTTCAGAAAGTATTGGTTGGACCAGTGGAGCTGTAGATTTCTCAGAAGATTGCTGCTCTCACTGTCTGCTTGCTGCTTCACGAACATGCAAAGATGGTCCCTCTGTGAGGGACTCCTTTTTCCGGCCATTGCTTGGGTCACCCAGATCCTGCCTGCCTGCGTGCCTGACTTCCTGCCTGCGCGAGTGGTGAACGAGCAAGCTTCCTGTTGTCAAATTACGAAATGGCCTTTGTGAGCTTTTAAATGCTGCTCCCCTGTGTGTCCCGCTGTTCCCCAGGGCCTCCGTACTTCTTACAGTCCCGAATCGCTGCTGTGTGTGTGGAGCGGATGCTAGTAAAGCCTTGTTCTCCCTGCAGGACATGTTCTTCAAGTACACGTGGAACAACTTCCTGCACACACAGGTCGAGATCTGCGTGGCACTGATTCTCGCAAGCCCTTTTGAAAACACCGAGAACGGCACCATCTCCGAGCAGGATGTCGCCAGCGACAACGTGTTACTGAGACACGTACGTGCACCCACTGCCCGCCCTCTCTGGGTTAGTGTTAGTGGGTGGGAGCTGAGGCTGAAGAGCAGATTAGGTGGGGAGGCTGGGACAGGGACGTGTGTCTGGAAGGGTGGCTGCTCCCGTAGAAGACGTGTGTGTGTGTGGGGGGTGGTGCTCTCGAGTCAGGGTCCTGCTGGTCATGTCTCTTGGTTCTCTTGTCATTCTGGCCAGACACCGTCCTCGGGAGCCTCATTTTGATGGAGGATCAAGCCAGGCTCTGCTGTGGGCTGGCGACTGGCCACGGATACGGGGAACTCGGGGTTGGCATGTAGAGCACACAGGCCTCAGCAGTGTCCTGGGCCTTGAGTGAGCCGCCCACCACCTGGCTGTTCGGGCCTGGCCAGGTTGTGCAGACCACACCCTGTTCCGTCAGAGTTCTCGTTCACTGAAAGTCTCGACACTTGGACGTGTAGACCCATGCTAATGAGGATGCTTTTGTTGTTGTTGTTTAGCTTTTCCAGAAATGTCAGTTAATAGAACGGATACTTGACGCATGGGAGATGAACGAGAAGAAACAGTAAGTGTGTGTTTTTCATTGAGTTGCGTCTGAGTTAGCCTTGGGGCTGCTACTGTAAACCACTGTCAACCCACCCGCTCCTTGGCCCTAGAGAGAGGAGGCACTCTGGAGACGGGGGTCGGCATAGCCTTGGTGGCAAGGGCCTTACTGGGTTTGGGTGGCTTCAGAAAGCTCAGCAGCATTTCGTTCTGTTTTCCGGTAAACTTTTTGAACTCTCCAACCCCGAGTCCACAAGGGGGGCCCTGGTGGCACAGTGGGCGGGCAGTTGGCCCCAGCCACTCTTCAGGGGACAGGCGTGGCAGGATACATCTGAAAAGCTTTTCCTGCACCCGGGGAGCACCCACACGTGCATGTCGGATTCATTGATGCATCATTCTCAACCTCAGTAGGTGTGCAGGTCTCTGAATCCTGATCCACACATCCTGGTATGTGAGAGTCCACAGAGCCTGTTAGTGTGTGCGCTCCCACCACCCCACCCCGGGGGGTGGGGGGGGTGGGGGGCGGGGCAGGCACCCCCCTCTCCCCCCCGAGAGCTGGGTCACTCATGACAGGAGTCACTGCATTTTGTGAGAGTCTTTGTTGAATGATTGCCGAGTAAGCAGCAGAGTTGTGGTTGAACTGTGTGGCGAGCTGCCCTGTGCATACACGTGTGCAGCGTTTTCAGCATGTCCGAGGGCAGGTCTGTCAGAGTGTGCTCCCTCCAGTCCCTCTGAAGGCCCCTAGCTTTTCTGGTCTTTTAAACCTGAACCCTCAAAGTGCTTCCGAGCCGGCGCCCAGAAACCGTATCCAGGCTTTTGCTCTTCCTTGGGCTCGAGGGAGCAGGAAGGGCCACACCGAGGAGGATCCCATTAGACCCCCTGGCCTTCTGGAAGGAGCCAAGGCTCTTGCATTGAGCCCAGACCCATGGAAGCCTCGTGCTGTTCATCTCCCCAGGCCCTGCAGGTGAGCGGAGTCGGCCGGCCATCAGCTTGGGTCTCTGGAGTGTTCCTCCAAGGCTCTGCCTCACACACGCCCCTGTGGTGTTTGTAGAAGGAGAGCTCACGGTGGGAGGGGTCTCAGTGTGGAGGGGGCAGAGCAGTAAAGACAGACCTTGTAGAGGGAGGGGCAAGCGATAGGTTTGTGAGAAATAAAAGTTGTCCTCTTACCATATTCTTGGCCAAATCCACAAATACTTTAACGTGAGAAATATGTTTAGTATTTAATTATCCTTGTTAGTTCATGGCCCTGATTAGAATTTGACATCTTTTAGGGAAATAAACATAATTACTCAGTTCTTTAGGCTGGCGTGCAGTCGATTAAGTCTGAAAATCTATCTTACAAAAAGATGCCAAGGAGCATCCCCATGCCTCTGCTTCCCTGAGCCTCTGGTGCGCTGCCTGGGCTGCAGAGAGGTGTCAACAGTGGAGAGCGCACCAGATGCGGCCTGTAGGTCCAGTACCAGCAGTCTTTGTCCTGCAGCAGTGCAGCGTGACCACTCCGGGATGCCAGCGAATCTCTGACACTGCTCGGCGATACAGGATAATTGGGCTTTTTGGCAGCATTTCTCCCCTGGTGCTGCCTGGGAATATCCTGGTCACCTCCATCCCTACCTGTCCAGTTTCCCAATTGAGAATGATCGTGTCCCTGCCATCACTGACCACATGGAATCGACACACCGTCTGGGAAGGAGCCTGACCATTTGTCCTTTGTCCCCTCAGGGCAGAGGGAGGACGGCGGCACGGGTATATGGGCCACCTGACCAGGATAGCCAACTGCATTGTGCACAGCACGGACAAGGGCCCCAGCAGCGCCACTGTGCAGCAGCTCCTCAAAGGTGCGTGTGCGTGGCTGGCCCGGTCAGCTCACTAGCCACCTCTGGGGTTTCTTTCATTATGCGAATGACTTAAAGCTTCCATGGGAGTTGTGAGGGTTTGTCCGGCTCCTGTAGCTCTGTTCTCCGTCTGACCTCAGGTATTAGGGGCGGGCCAGCCACACTCAGTGGCCAGAGCCCCCTCCATTCTCAGGGCCTCTCCCTCCGTTGAGCAGTTTGAGCTGGAAGAGTTGGCTCTACTGTTCATTGGGCCACTAGCGCTGTGATGGGTCTAGCTTTTCCCGCTGGAGATGGACTGTGCTCCTCCAGTGGCTGGGCTCCAGGATGACTGGGGTGGGACTGGCCAAAGGCTGCTTAGATGACCTGGTTCCCTCTCAGAGGACCTGTCCTTGGGGGCCCTTTGAGAGCCAGTCCCCTCCCTCGGTGCACAGTCACTACCAGCTGGCTAGCTGGAAGCCTCCTCCCAGGAGCAGCGGTGGCTCACTGGGGGGCTTCCGTGTCTTTACGGGAGAGAGGACTGTGTGCTGTGACTGCCGGTTTAAAAGCAGCCATTCTGGAGTGGGAGTGGCTTGGTCGTGTGTGGGCATGTATAAACCAGAACTGCCAGATGACGAGCTTGTTTCCGGACAGCCTCCAAACCACAGGCAGGCACATGCTTATGTGGCCATTGTTGACCATTTCCCCGGAAGACAGCCCCACTGCAGCTCTGGGCCCCCGTGTCCACCTGTGGTGCAGGCTGGAGGAGACAGGCTCTTGCATCCAAGGGGGAAGCCAGTCAGGTGCCCAGCGTGGCCCTGACAGCCGGTGGGGGCGGGGGCGGGGGGCTGGCTGCAGCTGGCCTGTCCGGACATGTTTCCGGAGCAGGGAGGGAGGCCCGCCCCAGTCCTTGTTAGCTCTGCTAGTCTGAGTCACCAAAGTGATGCTGCTTCCTCTTTTTCTCAGACCTTCCCGATGACGTCAGGGAGCGCTGGGAGACGTTCTGCACCAGCTCCTTAGGAGAAACCAACAAGAGGAACACGGTCGATCTAGTAGGTTTCGCCAGGGTGCGAGTGTGTTCTCAGTCTTTGCCCACTTGCTCAGTTAGACGTGAACATTCTTCCCGACACTGTGGGCCAAGGGCCTCTGCCAGGAGAGGTCGGTACACACAGTGCCCAGTGGGGTGTGTCTGGTCAGCTCCTTATTATGCGACTGGGGTGGCGATAGGTCCACGGAGCCTGCAGTTCTTCTCCACAGCGGGCTGAGTAAGGGCCATTTCCCACAGTACCCCACTCCTCCACCACCTCGCCACCTAGACACCAGCCTCGGTGCCCTCTGCTGTACCAGCCATCACCAAGCACAGCCTGCCCTCAGCATAGAGGATGCCTAGTGGGGCAAAGTCTATAGCTGGGGCCCAAACCCCATTTAATGATCTTATTGGTGCTTTCAGACAGGGAATAATGGCATTGATAATTGCTTTTTACATTATATTGGACTTTGGAATGTAGTTTTTGTTTGTTTTCACAGTCCATTTTAAGGTAAGTATTGTGTGGATCTCGTCTTTAGAGATGGAGGCAGGTGCCTTCTTTCCTCAGCATAGGCCCCTGCTCACTGGGCGTTGCTGGGACCCAGACCCAGTGCCCTGCTCTGCTCCACATTGAGGTGCTCTTGTCAGGGCATCCCCTTAGTGCCTGCATCCTCACCTGTCCACAGGGAAGTGGAAAGGTCCACTGGGCCTTGCTGTCACTCCCTGAAGGCCTGCCTCCACCTCCTTAGACTGCCAATCCCACCCACCGGCTTCTCTAGCCACCTGACAGCCCTGACAGATTGATGGGACAGTGGGCTCTCAGGAAGAGGTGTAATTGTTGACTTGGGGTTGAACTGGAAGGATCAGGAATTAAGTGGTAATTTTAAAGGGGGACAAGTCTGCTAAAGTATGTCTAATGGATGGCCTCACGGAGAAGCTGGTCTTTATAGTAGAAACCCTTGAACGTATGGAGGCCGAGTTTCGTGTCCCGGGGCCTCCCAGCCTGAGCATTCTGAGTGCTCAGGACCTCTCCTTGTGAAGGCAAGCCCTTTCCGGCAAGAGTCCTCCTTAAGGAGTCCTTGGAATGCAGGCAACGGAGAGTCCCAGGTTCAATCCTGCCTGTAGACCAGGTAGAGAAGCGCACCCCTCCTTCTGGGAGACCCTGTCCCTCTTCGAGAGGCAGACGTGCATCAGTGGAAACCAGCTCAGATGCCTGTAGTGCTGGGATCGGCCTGTGGCTCGCAGCACCAGCTGAGTCCGTCTGTGTGCTCTTGCCTACAGGTGGCTGTCTGAGGGGAACCTACCCAGTTGTGGGTTGAGCTGTGTGCGTCCAGTAGCTCCGATCCCACTAGACCCAAGGGTGTGCACAGTGGCTCATGGGTTGCCTGTGCTGGGGAGTTTATCCTGAAGAAAACGTGCTTTGTGCTGACTGCATCTGAGGGAGGACGGCGGTGGCTAATGGGAGGCATGCTTAGAGGATGGAGTCTGCTGCCTGCTCTCTCAGTGTCCAGTACAGCTGCTGCTCCCCCAGGGGGTCATGCAGGTCACTCCCAGGCCTAGGAGGAAGGGTCTGTCTCCACAGCTCACTAACAGGCTTCACCTGCTAGAGGATAAGGCGCTTAGGAACTTACCTGACTCATGAACTATGAAATAGTTCATAAAATCACAGTTTTGTAGGAAGGAAGGTCATACCTGTAGCTGTTTTATCACTAAAGCAAGAGTGTTCTTAAAATACCAGGGGAGCTTCAAACTCCATTCCATTTTTTACCAACTGAAAAATGAGAGCGGTGTTGCTTTAGAAAATAACTGCAAGCCTGCTATGTGCCCAACACTTTGGATGTAGAACTAAACTAGATTGACAAACATCTGCCTCCGTGGGGCTTCCACCGACGGGAGAGGAAGGCTGTGTGTGTGTGTGTCCATATGCACTCCACATCAAGGGGCTTCCAGAGATTTGTGAGTAAATGCTATTGCTCTGCCATCGTGTTTTCCCATGCACAGCCCTGCCCCCTTTGGTGCACTCACTACATGACAGCAGGAAAGGAAGGAGCCAGTGTTATTTGGGGGTGGAGAGTCTAGAAAGGTCTCAGTGAGAGACTCATTCATGCAGAGATCCTGAAATATGGGGTCATTCCCAGTGCTGGCCAGGGCACCTGTGGTCAAGCATGTGAGGCAGTGAAGAAGGAAGGCTTGTTCAGCACTCGTTAGTTAGCCCCGGTGACACTGTGGCCTTCGCTCATTGTGAATTGTGTGCGGCTGGACTCTGAGGAGGCAAAGTCAGCACGATCTTCATGTGGGTGTGTAAAGAAGGAAGCCCAGGTCAGGAAAGGGGCTCACACAGTAGTAGAAGTGAGTAGATCCAGTTCTGTCCAAGTCCGAGGAGCAGATGTTAAGCGGGAGGCTTTTCCCAACCCATGTAGCTACCAGGGAAGATGAACTTAGAAGCAGGAAAACCAGACTGTTGGAGGCAGAGGTGAATGGATGCAAGGTTGGCTGGCAATGGGCAGGCTGCTGATAGCTCCCAGGGTCAGCAAGCAGTACGGCAGGCCCTGACTCACGTCCAGAGAACAGAGGTCGATGAGTCAGAGCAGACGCAGGGTCCAGGCGCCTTCCCATGGAGTCTGTTTGATTAAGAGGAGACCACAGCCCAAGGACATTTTGCTTCAATTGCAGCATCCCTGTGATACATGAGTGAGGGGCTGCATACCTCCCTAATGCTCCTATCACAGCGGGTCCCACCATGGAGCTGTTTGCATTGTGACCACAGCTCCCAAACCACTGAGAATTCTGGCCCAGTGAAGTTGGCACACAACCACACCATCACAGAAGACCGCCCGCTTTTAACTAAAAAGGGGCAGTTGTATGTTCAGTGTTACGACGGCGCCAGGGGTGCTGGGTTAAGACACAGCTAGAAACCTAGGTGGCATTAATCCGAGTGAGGGAGTATGGTGGGTAGGGGCTGGGGATGGTTACCTAAGTAGAGTGGACACAGGAGTCTTTCCTTGGGAAATGCTTTCTCCGTACATGCCTCCGAGACGTGCTCTGATTGTGGAGTTTAAACAGGCTGTGCAGGGACTGAGGTGTCTGGCACAGAGTAGCTGCTCAACAAAGGGTCGCTCCCTTGCTGATTTGAGCTTGGCTCTCAGGATGGGGTCAGGATCCGCGAGCGAGCGAGCGAGCGAGCGTGCTCCCATTTAACTCAGCCAACCTCCTGGTATGTTCTTTGAGTTCTCTTCTGGGACTACTCACTGTGATGGGTGTGTAGTGTCTTCCTGCCTGCCGGCCAGTAGCTCCCTAAAACACCACCAGGTCTGCTCACCTGCAGGCTGCCGTGACCAAGGAGTATTCCCCAGGACTCCCCTCAAACCACTCCTGATGCCAGCTGGTGTTTGTCCATCTGTGATCCGGAGTTTAGCAGTTGAACACACATGCTTGATTAGGAAAGGGGGTGGGGGCAAGGGCCTGGGGGGCGGACAGCGGGGAGCAGGGATTTACAGGAAGTCAGCGGTATTTGAGCTCTGTGTTCAAGATGCTCAGAGCCCTTTAAGGGCAGGGGAGAGGAGAGAGAGAAGACCAGGGTGACTCTGGGCCAGGCGCCACTGTATTTGAATTTGACTGTGCACCAGAGCTGGAATCCCTTCACTAGGCAGGCAGGGCCAGGTGCTAGCATTGGGAGTTGACAGGTAACAGCTGCTTTTAGCCAGCATCGTGCTGGGAAATCACAGTAAGTAACCATCAGAAGCTCTGAGCTGGTTCCAGGAATTCCATGGAGTTTCTGTGTAGCAATTACTATGATTGGTTCTGTGTTAATTTGCCCGGAAATTCCCATTTCTTATGGAACGCCCCGCCCCTGCCAGGCAATGTGTGTCTCTATCATGATCCGCCAGCAGGGACGCCCAGGCTAGTGCTTCCATGCTCGTGTCAGTGCCTGGAGGGCCCAGGGCTGCAGCCTGTGAGCTCTCCCGGACAAGGCCCCCTTTGTGTGGGCAGGAGAGGTGCAGGTTTAAGTGAAGATGGCTAGATGTAAGCAGGACCTTGCTGGTAAGCTGGGGGGTTGCCTCCAGGTGCCAAACCTTTGTGTCACGATCAGAAAGCCCAGACCTGGCAGAGGTGCAGTGGGGGAGCATTTCCTCTGAGTACCTATGCCCCACCCCCACCTCAACACTTGAGAGAAGAGTCTGAACTCACACGGGAATCCCCCCACCCCAGTGGGCCCTGTGGGACAGCTGAGCCAACCGTGGCTGGGTGCCGAGGCACCAGCCGGGAGTGTTGGGTTGGGTTGTGCACCTTCATATGACTGATTGTGTTTTGTTTTCTGTTGCATACAGTGAGAAGAAAACTGTGCGTTGTTGTTGTTGTTTTCCATAAAATGCGGATTCCCATGTCCACAACCTCTCGGTCACAGTCTTTACGTCTTTATGCATATAGGTCACAACCTGCCACATTCATTCATCCAGTGATGATGAAATTGACTTTAAAGAAACGGGTTTCTCACAGGATTCTTCTTTGCAGCAAGTGAGTCACGCCTAAAGCTTTGCTTTTTGTCTGTATTTCAAATGCTTGGTCTAATTACCGATGTGCACCTGCCGCACACGGGAGTGCTGTCGGGAGCCGGGCCTATGAGGCCATAAGGTGGCTCACTTCGCAGGAGGTGTGAATGAACCTAGTGTGGAGGGGAGCCTTTAAACCACTGAGCCGTGACCTACTGACTGGTGTACTAGAGGGGCTAAGTCAGCGGTTCTCACCCTGTGGGTCACAACCCCTTTGGAGGTCGCCCGATTTCTAACAGTAGCAAAATGACAGTGATGAAGTAGCAACGTAAGTAATTTTATGGTTGGGTGGGTGGGGGGTCACCACAACATGAACTGTATGAAGGGGTCGAGGCATTAGGAAGGTTGAGAACCACTGCTCTAAGTGCAAGTAATGGTAAAAGTGCAAGCAATGGTAAAAGGTAACAACGCCCCCTCCCTTGCACCCCCCACACACACACAGCACAGCTTAAAGTGCCCCTCCCCGGCCCTGTTAACATGATGTTGGAGTCCTGCTCTTTGGTGTTCACGGACCCCCACACCACCCCTTCTGCTTAGCCTCTTGCCCCCAAATTCACCTCCCTCTCTTGGCTGGGGAAAGTTGAGACTGGATCACGGGACGCGGCGCTCTCTCCTGGCAGTCACGTTCAGGAGCCCCTGTTGACAGTTTGCATCTATGTCTGCCAGGCCTGTCCACTCTGGGCATGTAGGCCCGGGTCCACTGGTGTGGCCAGGGCGAACAGACACCTCCCCTCCCTGTTGGGCCCCAACTGCTGTTTGGTTTTTTTCCCCCGCCTCCAAGCCTCATCTCACCCCAGGGCCAGGACAGAGCCCGGTGACTGCACTGTCGCTGTCTGGTGGAGGTTGGCCTGAGCAGGTGCTTGGTGTGGGCGCTGAGACGGTCATGTTTACAGATGGCTCTGAGTCACGCTGGCACCTTGCTGGTTTCTTTCTCTGGTGATGTTTTTTTGAGGCAGCTGCCCTTTGGAAGCCATGTCCCTGCAGCAGGGTCAGAGAGCAGCCACCTGCAGTGACGCCCAGCACCTCGGGACCGCCTTCCAGCTTGTTGTAAGTCCCTGTGGCCCAAGCTCTAGGGCATTGTCCCAGGAGGCACCCTGAGCAGGCCGCTTCTCAGTGATGATGAGTCTACTCTCCTGCCCCAGGCTTATGTCTGCCACCAAGTGGCTTTGAGAAGACGGCTGACTGCCCCAAGCATCCGGTCACAAGCAGCCCTACCACTGCTCTCTAGCCAGGGCCACCAGTAGGCTTCTAGCTGGTGCCCTTCTGGCTTCAGAGGCCCTCCCGACCACAGGCCCCAGCCCCATGGCCTCTTCCTGCTACTGAAATCATGACCTGGCCACAGCAGCTGACCTTTTCTTGTGAAGTTAAAGCTACTACACCCCCAGTCTTTTTCTGTGACATGTCCATGCCTCCCCGAACATTGTCCCGTGAACCCAGACATATTCACCCCCTCTGGGGGCACAGGGCAGTGTGGATGGGGGGTGGTTTCCACCATCTTGGATTGGAGAAAAGCCAGGATTTAGTCTCCAAAGAACATTTTTATTTTTTGCAACGTAGGGAAAAGATGCCTTCCAAAGCCAAATATAAGACGTATTTGGTAATTATCTGTAATGTAGATTATCCATGCCATAATTCCCTTCCACTGCAGTGAGCAGCCCTGTGTCTAGGCTGTGCCCACAGTGAAGCCTGGGCTGGGTGCAGGGTCAGGTCCAGACGGTCCACCTAGCTCAGTGTACCAGTGGCCTTAGGAACATGCTGGACCCCCGTGCCTTGCTGGGAGGTCTCCGCTCTCATTCTCGGGGCAGAGTTGGTGCACAACTATGGCTGGTCTGCACTCCCTTCGTCCCGGGTGATGGGGGAGCTTGCTTGCTGGCCCTGGGCCTGGTGGTGGTGCTTCTGGTGAGCGCACAGCAGCCTCTTGCCTCCCTTTCGGCCTCCCAGACAAGAGCTCAAGAAGGCTCAGAAAGTGGCCCTGGGCTACAGTCTGTGCCCACCTGCCTCTGAGACCACGTCTGTTCTTTACCTGGTGTCCTGTCTGCAGGACTGGGACTGCAACGGTCACTGTCCTGGGGCTGACTGTGGGGCATGGGGAGTGGGGTGGGGCGGGCCCCCGGGTTAGCTATAAGGATAAGGTTGGTGGTGTGTGGAGGTGATTGGTAATTTCAGGTGGTCACGTCTCACTCAGTCACCTCTTTGAAGTGACTCTCGTGGTTTGTCACCTACATTTACGGTGTCATACACAGCACACCTGAGGGGTCACGTTTTAAAAGCTCCCGTTTTGTTTTGTTTTTTGGTGGGGGGGGGACAAAATGGTATCTCAAATTACTTAATTTTCTTTTTAGAAAAACACCCCAACTCTTTAAACCCTATGGCTACCTAAATAGAATGATTTCTAGAACAGAAATGGGCAAGTAGCGTGTAGACTGTTATTAGAATCATTATGTCACTGTCACTGGTCCTGGGGTTGCCAGGCCTTTTCTGATTATCAGATGCAACAAATGACGTCCAATTTTATTGACCAGTTCGGCTTCAACGATGAGAAGTTCGCAGATCAGGATGACATTGGCAAGTGAGTACCTGTTTCTGTGTCCGTTTCCAGGGAGATCTTGAGCCTGCTGGTTGGGCATTCCTGGGTGGGTAGGAGGGAGGGTCTGGCACCCTGGGGTTCCCCTCTGTCCTTGTGGGGCCCAGCTCAGGAGCACCGAGGACCCTCTGCAGGGAAGGCAGCCCCACTTGGGGGCTGGACTTCGTTCCTTCAATGTCTGACTTTGTTAGGCAATGCATCTTTGGGCCCTGGGCCCCAGGTCACCATGGTGATGAGCGAGGTCTGAGTTTCAACTGGATCTCTGTAGCACTCCAACCCAAACCAGGCCCACTGCCCTGGGTCAAGCCAGCTTCTTGGCACCCCTGTAGGACCAAACCCCATGGGGTTTCTGAGATCACTGGGCTCTCTGGGAGCAGCCTATCAGCAACCAAGTATGGAGGGGGGGGGTACTCCTACACACACACACACCCTCCCCCCAAAAGTGGACAAAAGCTCTGTTGGACGGAGCTCTCGTAGAATGCGTTTTCTCCGCTAGGTGAACATCCAGCAGCTCGCTCTGAGTTACTGCACCCAGTGGCATCTCCTGGGAAGGTTCCCTTTGATCACAGTGATTTTTTTTTTTTTTTTTTAAGAAGTTTGGCTTGAACCTCATTTTTTGTGATGTCCAATTTAAGAGAGCAGTGTGCAGCTGTGAAATTTTGTTTCTTGCTCTGGAAAAATGCTGCAGAAACTTGTGATGTTGAACACAGCTTCTAAGGACAGTGCTATGGGAAAAACTCAAGTACGAGTAGTTTTCTTGTTTCAAAAAAGGTGAAATTCATTTGTTGACAAATGTCGTTCTGGATATTCGTCAACTTCCCGAACAGACAGAACATCCCTCGTGTTACATTTGGACCTAGTAGTAAATTTAAATACATAGCTTTGGAAAACATTTGTTTGGTGGCGGGCGTGGGTACTCCTTGGTAATTACTAGGCCATCAGCACTGCTTTGTCCCACGCCAGGAGCAGCTTCTCTCCAAGACAGACTTGGCTTTCATGCACCACCAACCCTGGCAGCCAGCGAGCCGCCACATTGGCGAGCGGAAGGCAGGTTCCAGCTCCTGACCACAGGGAACAGGGCCCCTGGAAGCAGCCTCCTTTCTGAAACTCCACGAGAAAATCTCAGCAGTGTACACACAGCTGGACTGGCCCTTGGCTGGGCGCTCTCCCAGCAGCCTTCCTGCTTCTGCCCAGGAGTTCTTGCTGGCAGTAGATGCTCCGTGGCAGGCTGAGCCCTAGCCTTTGGTGGCAGCTGTGTGACATTGGGTGCAGGTGCTAAGAGGACTGCGTCTGAGGCACAGCAAGTGGTGCCTACTCCAGCCAGGCTCTGCAATAGGCTCATCGCCACAGCGCCCCTCCCCCTCCCGGGGGTGCCCTGCATGGGCAGGGCTGGGCTGTCCCTCCTCGGCTTGCTTAGACTCTCAGAGTGACTCCATCTCAATCTGGTAGTGGGGTAATGATGGGGTCATGACTGGCCAGCGTCGACTTGAAAACGTTGTGTTAATTGCCCCACAGCTTCCTGCCAGGACAAAGTTAGACACAGTTCCCCTGTGTCCCCTGTAGATGGTAGACTCTCTATCTTGGGTTTCTTGTTCGAAGGTGGCCAGGTCCCTTCCCAGTCTGACCCAGGAGCACGCCTCCTGCCCTTGACGGTTGTGCCTGCATGGGACGGTGAAGCACGGTGTGGGGAGCCGCCCCGTGTGGGGTGCTAACAACACCCTGCCTTGCCCTCTCTTCACAGTGTGTCTTTTGATCGGGTGTCAGACATCAACTTCACTCTGAACACAAACGAAAGTGTAAGTATGAGGACAGCCCCTGGAGAAGGGCGAGCGGGGCCTCTCCAGGGAGGTCTCTCTGCTCTGTCCACTGCTCACCTGCCGGCCAGGCCCGTGACCATGTGAGCGGCAGCCAGTGTAAAACGTGCCTGGGGTCCAGGGCCACCAGGATCACGGTGACTGCCCTGTATGTAGAGGAGACCTCCCTCAGCCGTGTGGGGCCTGCGTGGATGTGGGGTTGCTCGTGCGGCAGCAGGACACCTTGGGCAGGCGCGGGGCGTCCACAGGAACACAGTGCTCTTACTGGGCAGAGGGAGATGGCAAGGAGGACATGGGCCATGCTGCTCCGTTCCCCGGAGAACAGGAAGCTAAGGCTGTGCACCGGTGTCGGTGGCCTGCCCTGTGATGTAAAGGAAATAGAGCAGTGGGCACTGACGATAGATAGTACAGAACAAACACTGGTAACTGTTCAAATCCAACCATCTCCCGATGGAATCCAAGTCGAGTTTACCCAGGTCCCTTTGGGGAGAAGAGGCAGGAGATGTGAAGCGTGGCTCTGTCTCTCTCTCCTGACCGCACAGGGCAATATTGCCTTGTTTGAAGCCTGCTGTAAGGAGCGGATACAGCAGTTTGATGACGGGGGCTCCGACGAGGAGGACATCTGGGAGGAAAAACACATTGCGTTCGCTCCGGAGTCCCAGAGACGGTCCAGGTGAGGGGGGGTGGTAGTGGTGGTTTATGTGGTGTGGCACCCAGGAGTGGGACAGACGCGCCAGGGTGTCTGCCGGGGGAACTCAACAAACTGTGGAAGAATTCCATTCTCTTTTCATTCCTTTTTTTTCTCCCCCCACGAACTTTGTGAAGGCGTCTTGTGAATTTGACAACATAGATGGTCCTTGAAAGACAGCACTGTCTGTGATGGGATAACATCTGTATGCGTACAGGGAAGGTAGAGTTAATGCAGCTGTGTACATTTGCACGTCAACCCAGAAAGCCAGTAATGAAGAGCCGGGATTTAACAAGCTTTTCAGTCTGAATTGATCAAGTAGGCAAGTCAAGATGCATTGATAATTATTGCTGATTGGAGGGCAAAAGTTGGAAACAAAACTGGAAAGAATAATAGCTAGAAAATATGGCCTTGGTGATAGAAACAAGACTTCTTCATCGATGGCCCACAGAGACATGTGTCTGTGCTAGAAGTTAAGACACACACACACACACACACACACACACACACACACACACAGATTCATGGACGAATCTGCCAAACATCTCAGGGGAAAAATTCCACTGATTGTACATTTTGTCTCTCCTCCGAAGAGGAGGGAGAGTCGTCATCAAACCCAGCACACAGACTGTGGGAGCAGCCAGCCGCTCTCGGGACCACAGATAGGAAGTCCCTTTCAAGAGGCTAGCAACCCAATGCATCAGTAGGACACCATGACCAGGCTTCTCCTTAGGGATACAGTGTGGCCTGGACGTTCAGTCGCCCCCAACAAGTCCCCCATTTATCCCTGGCAAAAAACACATCGCTGGAGAGAGACGGGGATTTTTTCCAACGACTAAGAGGTGTCTATAAGTGGGATGGTTCCTGAGTTAGCACAGAAGTAAGGGGTTGGCGAGCTGAGTGGGGCTTGCTAACAGCCCCGCCACCTGGGAAGAAATGCATGTCTGCTGGCATCGCCTTGGAAAGCCCGGGTGCAGCCCTGCGCTGCCTCGTGGGGCCGCTGAGCATCAGAATCGGCTGTATGACAGCGGAGAAGTCACACCAGTGGCTGAAGGGCCTGCTCTCACGACTTGTCAGTGTCGTGGCGGGTTAGAAGGGAAGAGGGGCTCTTGACCGACTGTCTGCAGGTGGCCTGCTGGAGGGTGGAATGTACAAGGTGAAGGGTCGGGTGCAGTGAGTGAGTCAGACGTGCTGGCAGAGGAGTGGGGCAGAGCCGGGAACCAGGGGAGGGGCCGTGTTCTGGTGTCTGCCCTTTGGGGTCCCCAGGTTGGTGTGCCGCCGGGAAGCAGCGTGCAGCGTGTCACCCCTGCCCCTCTTCTTGTAGCTCGGGGAGCACGGACAGCGAGGAGAGCACCGACTCGGAAGAGGAGGACGGAGCCAAGCAAGACCTGTTTGAGCCCAGTAGCGCCAGCACGGAGGACAAGATGGAGGTGGACTTGAATGAACGTAAGGGCACTCCTGGCCGCTGTGGGCTGGGCTCGGGCGCTGGGAGACATGGAGGGAGAGGGGCTGAACCACGCTGTGGTTTGGGCCTGGCCTGGGAAAGCTGGACCGTGACCAAGAAAGACTAAAGGAGGGCCGACGCGTGACAACTGCAAGACGTCCAGCGAGAATAGGCCTTAGGAGGAGGGGGCGAGGCTTGCCCTGGAGTGTGTTCACCTGGGGGGTCCGTCCCGGGAGAAGGGCGTTTTGCTTGAATAAACTAGAGGGCAACGGAACAGAGCAACGACCCCCATCAGGATGGGCCGACGCACCCTGGCTGCAAGAGGGCTCCTCCACCAACCAGGGTGAGGCCGCCCAAGCGGGGCTCCTCCTGTTGGACTGACACCTTTGCTGGCACGCTACAGGAACGGATGCTGGGTGAGCGTGCTGGGGACACAGTGCACTGGCCATAGTCCTCGGAGAGACTGCTGCTGTGGCAAGACAAAGCGAAGACTCGTGAGTGGAAGACCAGTCCTGTCGAGCATGCACTGTGCAGATGCTGTTGGGGTTTGCTGGGGTTCCCACAGCCAGACCTTTGAGCTGTGTACGTCTACAAACAGGAAAGAGCCCCAAGGATTGGCACTGGGGTTTCCCCAGTGACTGCTGTGCTTCACGTCCTCCAGGAAGTCCCAGGCTTGTCCCCTCAGCGCCCAGTAGCCGGACCAGCAAGTTTCCTGTGGCTTGTGCTGAGTGCCAGGCTCCAGGGAGGCCCAGCCTGTCCTTTTTTTTTTTTTCCCCCAGCCTGTCCTTAACCATAAAGTGCACCTTTTGTTTGGGAATGGTTTCACAGAGAAGTTGTAAAGACAGGACAAGAGAGCTCTTCAGAGCCCTCGCCCCACTCCCCACCCCAGCAAAGTGCTGTGCCATGGCCGTCTCCCCAAATGAAACCCCGGTGACACAGTGGCCGGAGTGCTGGGCTGTGAGCTGGCAAGTTGGCAGTGTGACCACCCAGCGCTCCGAGGGGGAAGGAAGAGGCAGTCTGCTTCTTAGACGGGCGCAGCCCTCTGTCCTGTGGGCTTCTGAGAGACCGCTCGCAAGTGGGTTTGTTTTGCTGTTGATACCAACGTTGTCAGTTTGGCCGCAAGGAGAATCGTGTTTGTTAGACAATCAATGGGCAGCTGCCTGAAAGGCTGGATTCTGAGGAGGATGAGACTGTTTCTGACGTCACGTGGATCTCAGCTAAAAGCAGAGGATCATCAGCAAGATGGTCACCTGTGTTTTATTGACTGGAAAGTGCATCTACTTGTGTGGATCATAACAAATTATGGATAGCACCATACAGGATGGAAGCGCTCAGTAGAGGAAGGGCATACTGCATGGTTCCAAATAGGGGCAGGTGTGTGTTGGGGTCATATCCGCAGACGACCCCAGGAGCTGGACAGGGTGGACAAGACTCAACAGGTTGTCATCTGCAGATGACGCCATCTGGCTTGCTGAAGCCTGCGAGCACTTGAGGCGCTGGCTGATGCAGACCAGAGACTGGCCTTCGGTGTGGATCACACCGCGGCCTCAGACAGGTGCTCACAGCGTCACATGACTCTCGGGTCCTCTGTCAGTGGCCGTGGAATCTGCAGCCAGGAAACCCACGGAGGAGTTGCGTGGGGCAGGCTGCTGCAGGAGACTTCTGCGTGGTTCCAAGTTGGGGGCCTCCCCTGGGTCTCAGCTGCCCTTCCAGTTTGGATCGCACTCTGCCACACCCCACCCCACCCCACCCCACCCCACCACCCCCCGCAGCTGGAAGAGCACGGGCCGTCGCTGCCCATGTGGTGGCTGCTCTGCTCTTGAAAAACGCTCGGCATCCATGCAACCCTGCCTGTTCTCCTCCTCTAGCTCCCAGCTGGTCAGCCAACTTTGATGTCCCCATGGAGACCACCCACGGTGCCCCCTTAGACTCGGTGGGGTCTGACGTGTGGAGCACGGAGGAGCCCATGCCGGCGAAGGAGACAGGCTGGGCTTCTTTTTCAGAGTTCACGTCTTCGCTGAGGTGAGTGTTCCCTGTTCCCTAGAGGGAGCTCGAGTGGGCAGGGGCAGCGGGGAGGACTCGCAGGACCAGGCAGGGAACGTGGAGATGGACCAGCCCGAGGCCAGGGAGGATGTGGGAGGACTTCGTGGGGGACTGTAAGAAACGCAGGATGGGGACGAGGGGGGCGGGGGAATTACACACACACTGTCATCCAGTTAGCTGGTATTGAGTGTCCTTGTGGGCAGTGTCAGGAGACCTGGTGTTGCAGTGGTTAGAGTTGCACTGCTAACCCAGCTGCTGCTCCAAGTGGAACCTGAAGCTTTCTGCTCCTGGAAAGAGAACGATTGTTCCTCCCTGTCCCCGTAGGGATGGCTCTCTGGAGGGAAAGCCAGGAAGCCACACTCGCTGTGAAAGTGGTCGCAGGCCCCGTTCCATTGGAGCGCTGTGCTGCTTGGACGTGGGAGCCGTGGGGGCCTCTGGGAAGTCCCTGCTGCTCTGTTGAGGATACTCCCGGCCCACCTGGTCTGCTCCAGGCAGTCATCTGCTCTGGCTGGGCTTGTTGCTGAGACACTGACCCAGCTGTCTGTCTCTCTTGGGAGCTGGGAGTCATCTCTGAGGTTTGTGACGACCAGGGTGGGATCCAGTCTCTGATCTCCCTGCAGTACAAAAGACTCTGTGAGAAGTAACTCGCCCGTGGAGATGGAGACCAGCGCCGAGTCCCTGGACCCCCTCACCACCAATGCGGCAGCCCTGACGGTGCAGCCAGAAGGTAGGAGTGGGGGGCTCGGAGCAGCTTGTGGTGCTGCTCAGGCTTTGTTGGCCACGCTGTCTGCTATGTCCGCAAGGCAGACCAGCCCTGACTCCTAGCTCCTTTGTGGCTGGTGCAGAATTTGCCCTGGTCTTTTCACCCAGTCATCACCCAGCTCCCGGGTGTCGTCGTGGCAAGTCCCGTACACCCGCCGCCCCCCCACCATTAGCCTGCTTCACGTGGTTCCCAGCAGTAACTGACCAGTGGTCTCCACGGGAGCCCGTTGGGTTCTGGATGCTTTCTGGTCATGCAGGCAGTCCTCAGAGCAGGCGGCTGTCCCTGGTCGACAGTGCACGAACCCAGGAGGGACAAGGACTGGGAAGGTGGACACGAAGCCCTGGGAGGAGGCAGACCAGTCCCTCGTGCTTGGCTGGTTGTTCTTGTCGGTGTTGTGTCCTGTAGCAATTTTGGAGGGGGGTCTGCGGCTGGCGTCCAGCCGGTGACTTGAGAGCACGGACCCGTAATCCAGGGTCCCATCGTCTCCTGTCAAGGAATTTGGGGGCCGAAGAAAAAGGGTCCCAAATGGGGGCCCTAGGCAGGAAAGTTTGGTGGGGGGTACACTGGAGCAGGGAGCCTGGGGGTCAGAGTGAAGGGACACACCTGCTGCGCCCCAGCTATGGGCTCAGATATACAGACTGGAGCCTGCCTTGGGATGGGGGTGGAGGGGGGTGTGTTTCCACCTGCGGGGTGGGGTGGTGGTGGTGGTGTATGTGACCTGTGCCTCGGGCTCTTCCCAGTGCCGGGCAGTGTGGTCATGGAGGCCAGCTCTGACGGGGAGGAGGATGCCGAGAGGACGGACAAGGTCACCGAGACAGTGATGAATGGCGGCATGAAGGAGACGCTCAGCCTCACGGTGGACGCCAAGACTGAGACAGCCGTCTTCAAAAGGTAACGTGGGCGGCCTGCCATGCCTCGCCACGCTGCACAGTCGGGGGTTAGGGCTGGCGGCCGCTCGACCAAAAATGAGCCTTCATGGGGCAAGGGAGGCTGGGTGCTGCCTCGCCTCTGCCTCGTCCTCTTGTTTGCTCATGTAGGGAGCTTCACACCCTTTGCAGGGCAATCTGGGATCTATCATTCTGTTTCCCGTGAGCTATGTATGGGGGAGCCCTTGTGCATGGAATCAAAGAGCCGGGGGGCTTGAAGTGCATGCCAGTTCCGGCCTGATGGACTGTGCGTGCCTCGGTGAGAAGTGGACCTGTGGGCCCCACTGTCACTCTCGTGCCTCTCTGGGGCAATGGCAGACTGGAGGCCACCACAGAAGCTCACTGCTAAAGTCGTGGATCAGAAGGTGGGTCACAGTGAGAGCCAAGCATGGACAGCTGACCAGTAAAGAATGAAGCTCAGCTGGGCCCTTCGGGGGGGCCGCCTCAGCCTGGCTCTCTGCTGGAGAGGTGACATGAGAGACGTGGTCAACGTGGCAGTGAGTCAAGACTGCCGAGAGAAGACCCAACCGATGCATGCAAGCACAGGTGCACAAAGTCGTCCTTAAAACTTAAGACTGTCCCCGAAAAATGCATAGCCAGCTCTTGGAAACCTGCTCTGGAATCATGGGCAGTAACAGATGTTGTGGACTCCTTAGGGAGCCCAGAGGGAGACTTGCTTGCCCATTGTCCGGACCTCTTTGGGTCTCGGGATGGATGCTGTGTGGGTCAGAGTGCTGGGCTGGAGGCAAGAGGCCCCAAGCTTGCCTGCTCCTCACACCGCAGTGCTGCTCCAGGGCACCTCACCCAGCACACATCCTCCCTGCTGCTCTCCAGCAAGGCACCTCGCTCCTAGAGAAGAGGAACTGCTGGCCCATCTGGCATGGTCTCCACTGCTTGAGGGCAGAAAGGAGCTTTTCGCCCAGTGTGCAGAAGTGTAAGTGCAAAGCTGAGAACAGGCTGGGCTGCCTCCAGGAGTGCACTTCCTGGAGGGGGCGGGTGTCCGGCCCTGCAAGGGCAGGTGGAGAAGATAGAACAATAGAACACGGTCACTCCTTTGTTCAAGGAATTCTGCACACCACCACGAGAAGGGAGGTCGCCCAAGTCAGAGAACAGGCTGCAGAGTGGCCCCCTGGGCTGGGCGAGTGAGCAGCGAGGCGCAGTGCCGGTGGCTGCCACTCTCCATCTCCGGAGACTGCAGAAGGCGGCCAGTGGACACTGGGGCATTTGGAGGGGTCACGCTCTCAAGGCTGGCTAGGAGCCTGCCAGGGGCTGTGGGCTGGAGGCGCAGAGTTGGAAACACTACGTGGGAATGGTCAGTGCACCTTGGCCATCCTCCCAGCCAGCCCAGGGCTGCCGCCGAGACCAGGAGCACACCGGTCTGAGCTGCAGAAGCCAGGTGCGCTTCCCAGACCCTGTTGCTGCTTTGGCTGGAGGGTGGGGCAGGGACCGTGAACCGGGAAGAAGAGCCAAGCGGAGGAGACTCTTGCTCAGGACTCAACAGAGCATCACACAGACCTCACTGAATCTCTGGGAGGCCGTGCTACTAGCTGTCCACAAACAAGGGTTTTTGTGAGCAAACCCAGGGGGCAGAGAGGTCAGGTCACCACGCAGTACTTAGCCATGGGGTGCAGTATTGGGCGGGGTGGGGGAAAGCTAAGCGCCTTGCGTTCACCCATCCACTGGGAGCATGCTGCCTTTCCTGCTCCAAGGCAGTCTCCCCGTTGGGGCGGCTTATACTTGCATGGGCTAGGGGTCACCCCTTGGCTGGCTCAAGGAGCCCTCCCTGTGGGCTTGGCCCCTTTAACGGAAGACTTGTTCCTTCAAACAGGTTGGCTTGAGCCTGCCGAGCCCGCAGCTTTGCTGGTGTGCAGGCGTGGGCTAGGGTCCCACCGGCAGTGTGGGAGTGTTCTGAAACTCTTGTACATTTCTCTTTCTGTTTTGCACACTTGGCTTCAGAGTGTTGAAGTCCTACCGGTATGTGCGGTGCGCGTCCCTCTCCTGACACTCTGCATCCCACCTCTTGTGTCCCCGTGCTTGTCCCCAAGCATGCTCCATGGCCACCACACCGTCTGCATGCGTCCGTGTCCTGCCCAGCCCCACCCCCCATGTGACTCAGTGTCACTCTCTCTCCTGCAGTGAGGACGGGAAACTGCCTACCTCTCAGGATGCTGCTTGTAAATACGTGTTGGAGGAGAGCTCCGAGGTGACGGAGGCCAAGGCCACGGCCCCCCAGGTCCCCAGCAGCCCAGAGCAGAGGTAACACCCCCATCAACACCAGGTTCCTCAGCACAGTGGTGGTCCTCCATCCCAGGGACACCAAGGCAGCTACCCTGGGAATGTAGCAGTGCCCAGAGGCCATTCTCAGGCCTTGGGGTCCGGGATGGGCCATCAGCAGCCCTTGTTCTGAGAAGGCAGGGTCAGTTCTTGAGTTGAGACAATACCGGGCTTTGTCCAGGATTGGCAGCCAGTCCTCATTGTGCCTGGAAACCCTGTCAAGGCCCCCAGCTCTCGCATGTAGCTCCTCCCCATAGGCTGGAGGAGAGACTTCAACGATGGCCCTGGGTGGGGAGGGGGGGTCCTGTGACCCCTCAGGATTGGATATGGCCCTCTTGAGTGCTCAGGGAGGCCAGCCAGGCACTGGGCCTCGAGGGGAGAGGTGAGCCCCTCATCTGGGGCATCTTCAGGTGGCCCCGGGGCTGAGTCAGGTCCTTGGCCCAAGGGGCCCTGGTCAGCCTTTCTTGGGAGTTGTATGTTCCCTGGCAGGGTTGCAGGCCACTGTGGAGCTGCTGCCCTGTGGGCTGTCCTTGGCCTCCAGCCTCTGGAAGCATCCTGCCCCATCTCCCCCGCTGGGCCTTGGTGGCTCTGTCCCACAGGAGCAGGTGGCTTGTAAGCCATGTTAGAGCCCCCCCCCCCAATACAGACCACTGCCGGAGTGGCTCGCTCACAGGGGAAAGTGTGTCTTCACAGGAGCAGCCTGCCTTGTTCGGGGAAGCAGCGGTGGGCTTGGATCACTGGCTTGGTGGGGCGCTGTCCGGTGTTCGCCCCCCAGCTACCAGGGCTCCTTTCTGTCCAGGTATTTTGTGGGTAATGCGCAGGGGAGACCAGCAGAGGGCACCCTCTCTCCACCAGTCACACCCACCTGCCTGCCATTGGTCTGTCTCTCAGGCCGGTTGCAGGATAGTTTACTTGGATTGGAAAACCCTCCACACACACAAACTCCAGAACGTGCCTGAGAGGTCTGGGGTCTGAGGTGGTCCTGGGTCTGGGTGCAGGGGGGCCCACTTGCTCCCTCCTGGCTCATGCTCGCAGACCCAGACTGAGCAGGGTGGGGTGCGGGGAGTGTGCTGGTGGGAGAAGCCCCGGGAAGAGGGGGAGCAGCTGCGTAGCAGGCAGGGAACTGGGCCCCTGGAAGAAGGGTGCACAAGGTTGGTGAGCGAGTCCAGGAGCACCCAGGAGGTACACAGGGTGTGGTGAGCGGCCTCAGGGCCTCAGCAAGGCCCTCGTGTTGTGTCACCTCAGGCTCAGGCACTGGCAGTGTGGAAGGTCAGCCCCCTGGCCCCCATCACAGGCAGGGTCTGGCCCTTGGACTAGCCTTCAGTGCTCCCTCCTGATGTCTGTCAGTGAGGACTACATGCCAGCTGCTGTGCTGGACAAGCAGGGCGTTCTTGTCCTTGGGGTGCCGAGAACTCCCGAGCGAGATTGAGGTGTTTTCTAAGGACCAGCCCATAGGTGTGGTGCAGGCAGGCTCGGGTCCTCTGGGGAACAGAGGGCATGGTGTGCGAGGTGTCTATGCTCTTGTGCTGGTCTTGAAGTCTGGCTCAGAAGGTGCTGGCAGGCACCCCTCTCCAGGCCCTCACCAGAGCCCGGCTGGTGCCTGGCCTCTCCAGAGATGGGGTGGGCCCTGTCCTGGCACCACTCTGCTACCGGGCACTCACCATGTGGGTGTGCCTCCCCCCCTTCCCAGTGACAGGCCACATTGGGGACTCAAGGTAAGCACAGAGCTCTAAGGGGCGTTCCAAGACCAGCTGCTGCTCTCATCCCCCCCGGCAGTGGGTAGGGGTCCCGTGGGGCATACCCTTCTCAGCTCAGCCTGGGCCAGGTACCACCAGCTGCTAGGGAAAGTTCAGGTGTGACTCACTGGGTCTTCTGGAATTAAATTTGTGGATGAGGTGTTAAATTTGGTGCCAGCCTTGGGCTGGGCTTAGCTAAATGACAATAAAACTTGTGCTCCCCGCCACCAAGGAGCCAGGGGCCACTGCCTCTCCCCGCTTGCCAGTGGCATGCGTCTCACCTGTCTGTCTCGCCCCTCAGGACTGACCAGCCAAGTGCACCCAGCGACACGATGGTCAATGGCCCAGTATGATGAGTGAGCTGCTGCTGCTGCTGCTGCTGAGGACCACAGACCACCATCGCCGGGGCCTCCGGAGGGTTCCAGCCAGCGGAGCCTCCCAGCCAGTCACCGCTGCACTTGGTGTACAGGCTCAGGACCAGCACCCTCTCCACTCGACGCTGAGACGTTGTACAGAGCACCCGACGTGTACAAAGACTGCACACTGGCCAATGCCAAGGATTTCCCTGTATGTTTATATTGTATGTTCTAAATAATGGGGCCTGTGAAATACGGCCTGCCAGCCATGCGATAATAGTCGTAATTCTATAGTTAAAATGGCTGGAAGAATAGTTTTATAAAGTGAATACACAGATCTATTGTATTTGAAACATAACTATTTGACAATTATTAGTGTGACCAAAGTGCTAGGCAGTTTTCATACATTTTCCACCTTGTACAAAGTCCTGGATCCCTTCCCCCTCCAGGCAGACAAAAGGAGCTGAGGGCGTGAGAGGCCTGCGTGTTGATTTGGCTGTTCTGATGCCACAAAGGTGATTACGGGATCTCTGGTGTTCTTTTTATAAGCAGTTTTGGTAACTGTTTTCTCTATTGTTTCAAACGGATCAACAATGTTAAGTCTGTCGGTAGAGATTAAGTATTTATTGCTGCAGCCTAGTTGATAATTGACATTTTTGTGAGGCCGTGTGCTCTGTTACAGTCTTGTTTGCTCGAAATGACTCTCCCGCAGGTGAAACACTAGTCTTTGCAGTGGAGATGGCTCGTGGTTTGGGTTCTTTTTGGCTTTCTGTTCTGTTCTGTTTGGGGTCGTTCATCTGCCTCTTTAACCCATTCACCAAGTTGATCCTTGCTGGCCGGCACCCTTGAGTTCGGAAGTCCCGGAGCCATCTGTACAGGCGGCACACAGACGGCGGTCGGCCAGCTCCTGTCCCCGGAGTGCAGACGCCGCCCACATGCGCAGAACAGGCCTGCGCAGGGCCCCGCCCCGCTCGTGCGCACTGGCAACCTGGGCAGCCTGTGTCCCACGCTAGGTTCCCACTCGTCAATTATAAACCAGTGTGTTTTTGTTTTTTAAATAACTGGTTTGTGTACATATATGTAATGATTATGGATACTAATTCAATGTAATTTATAATTTTCTATGTCAGTGTAAAAAGACATCACCGCCTTCTCAAACGGCTGAAGCAATATACCGTGTGTTGCCACACGTCTGCTGAAAGGGTTAACTGACTTCACCTCTTGCACCTTTAGATGCAAATCAGTTCTCATTTCTGTGATCAAAAACGACCTGCACCTTTTTACAGCCCTCGGTCTGTCCTGACCAGTATTTAAAACCAAAAGGGTATTCTGAAACATGGCCAACGATTTTTTTAGAGCAGCATTCCGAGCAGTGTGCCTAAGCATTACATTGCGTGCGGAAATAAAAAGTCACATGTCGACGCCGCCCACCCGCCTGCCTGCCTTTCTCTATGCTCAGTGGCCAGCCTGTGGCCCAGGAGCCGGGGGTGGGGGTGGGGGGGCAGCCCTGGTGTGGGAGTGGGGGAACCCTTCTGCTGCGGCTGCTCCCTTTGGAAGGGACTGTGCACCCAGCACCCAGTTGGGGCCCCTTGGACTGGCCGCGAGTGAGCACAGGCAGGCCTGCACTCCCAGGGGCACCGTGCCTGCATCCCCAGGCCTCCCAGTCTGCTGCTGGCGAATGGGCAACACACCACATGGTGTTTTTTTGTTTGCTGGTGTTTTGCTTTCTTGGATGGCAGAAAAAACCCTTTGCTAGGGGTGGGGTCCTTCAAGCTGGACGGTGGCTTCCCACAAGCCAGAAGCAAGGGGCTCTCCGTCAGTGTGTCGGCCACCCTTAGCAGGAAGCCCTAAGTCACTGGGTGGGGGACAGAAAGGTGCTTCTTAAACATGACAAATCCAGGTTGATTTTAAGGAGACGTTTCCCATCCCTGTGCCTTAAGCAGGTGCATTCCTGAGCGTGTATTTGGGAAGACCTCAGAGCCCACGTCCACCCAGGCTTGCTGCCATTTCTACGGGGCACATCCCACAAAGGCGGTGGGCTGCAGTGATGTCCGCTCAGCCACGGGCCAGGATGTGAGTGACCAATAAGAACATCAGGAGTCAGAAATGGCCCAGGTGACTCACCACACGCTGTTGGGGGGACACGCTGGAGCTTCCAAGGGCCCTGTGGTGTTGGAGCGGTGTGTGCGTTCCTCCAGAAGGGAGGGGCTCAGGGCAGTCAGACCCAGACAGTCATTGTCTGTCACAACACGGCACACAACACTTGTGTGAAAAAGACACGAGGCAGGACAAAACGAGGTCCCCGTGGAGGGTGCGAGCTCCTTGTTCACCGTGCAGCAGCACAGGCATGGAGCATGTGTGGTTTCAGGCCCTCAGACCTGGAACACGAGCCCCAGGCAGGAGCATCAAGTGTGGAATGCCCTCGTCCTTTGTGGGCAGAGAGGGGCAGCTCGCCCGGGGCTGCTGGGGTTGGGGGTGTATCCAGGAGTCAGCTGTTGGGAAATGAAGTCAGGCCCTGCAGCTTCATTAGTAAAAGCAGCTGTCTACACCCACCTGTCGCTGTCTCTCTCCATTGAGGACAAACCACCAAACCCATCCCTCGGCCGCTCACTGCCACGCTCCTAGGGTTTCTGAGGCTGTCGCCCTTGTCCTTGAGAGTGCTTGGTGGGTTTGGACCCCCAACCTTGAGTTGAGCAGGTAAGTCCTGTGCTTACCCAGCAGCCCCAGCCGGGCTCCGTACCCAGGGCTCAGGCAGCTGACCCCTTGGCCAGCCAGCTCCCATCCAGCGACTGTTGGCTGAGTGCTGCTCAGGATAACTGCCCTCCCCTGTGCGTTGCCCTGCTTCCTGGAGGTTCTCTTCCCAGTCACTCCCGAAAGATGGGTGGTATGAGAGTCCAAATTCATAGACACACTCATGTGTATAAGAAAGAGCTGAATACACAAGAACAATTGAATGTTGAAAAAATAGCCCAGTCCAGATCAAGTCCTTAAGTCTGATATTAGCCTATATGTCTAACACCAATCTATAAAGTCCTTTTCAGACTCACGAGACACGTGCAGTGACGCCAACCGAATGCAGGAAGGTCACGGGCCAGTGGGTGGGAAGTCTTGTGGATCCCGTGGCGTTGTAAGCTTCTAAGCGCTGGTAGGGGTCTCCACGTGGCTTCTCCAGCTCAGGGCACTAGCATAGTTCCATGTGTCTTGTCAGCTGCTATGTCTCCCCCGTGTGTCTCACGTTCATTGAGCTATTTATCTCCTTAGGGCCTCCAAATGAGGTCAGCAAGCTGCCACCTGATTGACAGGCTAACCTCCACCCCTTCACTCTGAATCTTCTCAAATTGACAACAGATCATGTGACTACCACATACCACAGGTGGTTTGGCTGATACCTTTTGGAGATGATTTAAAAAACGATCTGGAAACATGCCCAGCAAGCCACACACCAACGCAGGGGCCCCAAGAACACCGGTCCAAGAGCACCAGTCGGGACGTGGACGAGCTCTTTGTCAAGTGATGGAGCCTCGCCCACCCTCCCTCATGAACGAAAACCCTCTGCTCCCATGGGTCCCCGTCGTGTCCGTGTGATTGCAGATAGATGACACCCCTCGCCTCTGTTGTCACGGTTCCCTTGAGCAGTACCCACACGGAACAGACAGCTGCCTGGTGTCTCACCGCCACTGTTGCAGCCATGGTGCCAGTTGCCGTTGAAGGAGAGCCCCCTACCAAGCATGCCCTCCGGGGACCGGCCATGCCCACTGACATCCGTCCAACGTGAAACAAAGTATCACCAGTCTTGCTTCTGAGGAGCGGTCTGGCTGTGGCTCATCGGCCACAGGCTTATTGTTGTCCCCGGAGCCAGTTGTCTGCTGGTACGTGCCGTCGTTTACTCCGCGTGCTTCAAGGACAGCCATATTCAAAGACATCGGGTCTCCCTGGGTCGTCCCTAAGCTCGCCAGGGCAACGAAGAAAGTCGGACAAGTGGACCAATTGTTTCTGCGCCCGCCCGCCCCGGGGAGAGACCAGAACAAAAGCACAGTGTTGGTGCAGTCTGTCTAGCTCCTGTTTCTCTAGGGTGTGGTCAGGCCGCGGTTGAAAGTAAAACCCAACAAGAGGCTGCCTCGAATGTGCTGAGGGCCCAACCTGACGTGCAGAAGATGGAGGGGACACAGACCAAGAGAAGGGTGGGTATCCTTCCAGACCCCCGGGAGGCAGGCTTGGCACGCAGGGCAGGACCCAGAGAGGAGCAACGGGTGCCCCCAGCCCCCCAATCACGGCACTTCAACACCCCCCCCCCCTTGCCTGCGTGGAACCACGTGGCATAAGAACTAGCCGATGTGCTTGGAGGATGGCACTGGGGAAGTGCACTGAACGTGCCGTGGACGGCCAGCATGCTGCTTGGTAGCTTGGCGAGACTTCCTCTCCCGTGCTTTAGCCGTGTCACCAGCAGAGACCAGTCCCTGGAGAGGGACACCCTGCCGGTAAGAGGAAGGCCCTCCGTGAGTAGGATGGACTCTGGGCACAGCAATGGGCTCAGACGTAACAGCCGGGAGGAGGGCCCGGGACCAGGCGGCGTCTCCGTAGGCTGTGTGTGCATAGAGCCTGCACGTGCCAGGACTGACGAGAGGGCACTGAACGAGCAGCAATTGCCTCCCAGCCCCTCTGCTCCCAGGTCAGTTCTGACTTGGACCCTGCAGGATAGAGAAAAGAAGCCCTAGGCAGGGGTTCCAAGGGTGTAGACCGCTTCCCGAAGCCGGTGGCCACATCCTCTTCTGGGGGTTCAATCACCGACACACACCCCCTCCCTCCACTAGAGCCCCGACCCTTGACCCATAGCACCCAGGGCCATAGTGGGCTTGAGGGGAAATGTCTGCCCTTAGGATTTGTTAAGGGGCCCCGGTGGGTCTGAGTTTGCACGTGTTGGTCAGTGGTGTGAGACCACCTGCTATCTGGGAGAGAGATGACTTTATTCTTATTTTTTATAATTGGGAGCTAATGTGTCGTTGCATAGTTCAGTCTGGTCAAGCAGAATTGTTTCCAAACAAATCTGTTTCCAAACCTCCTTTCTTTCTGGACTCCTTCACATCATCTCCCTTCCACCTCCCCCCACAGAGACCCACGGGCAGTTCCACACCGTCCTATAATATAGCTCACGAGAAGTCAGAATCGCCCCTGTGGCAGTGAGGTGAGACCCCGGGACTGCGGCCCTCAGTCAGTCTTGCAGTTAACTTCCATGGCTTGTCAGGAAGGTGAACAGTCAGTCACGCCAGGGAAAGAGGGTCCCAGCCCTTTGAACAACCAGCCCTGCAAGACTCAAAGGGCTGCCATTGCCCAGGGATGACGCCTGGAAGGGAAAGAGGGGAGCCCCCTGAAGAGGGGAGCAGAGCGTTGGGACATGGTGGAGTCCTCTGTCATGGGGACCTAGTGGGCCCTTGCCCAACCACAACTGAAGGTTCAAACCAACCTACTGGATGAAAACGTGAAGCCCTCATGGAAGTACACGTGGGTGAGGGGCTGTGTCCCAGGCGTGATCTGCAGCCTTGCTGTCTGGGGCAGACGTTCCGAACAAAGCAGCCAGCCGCCGGAAGTGTCTGGAACCGTGGGCTCTCGTGGGGCTTTTAAACGCGTCAGGAGAGCAGCGGGTCCAGGACGTGCAGTTGGCTAAGTGTCACCTGTCATGCCAGCGGACAAGATAAACGCAGCCCATTCGGTAACGCCCTGGAGCGAGAAGCAGAGGAGTGAGCTGGGCTCCTGGAGACAGGAACAGAGGACTGGAGCACCAGGACCCAAACAGGCGGTGGCACCTGGGACAGCCCCCTGCGGGCGGGAGGGGACAAGGCCGCTGGCTGGGGCTGGAAGGTAGGAAGACACACCCCCACGCGCACAGAAGCTGGGCCAGTCTGCCTCCAGGCCTGTTGACTCTTTCCCAGAACATTCTTCGTGTCCTCATTGGATGGGACACAGTTCCACGTGGAAGCGCACAGGGGAAACGCCTGAGGGTGGGGACCTAGAGCGAGAGAACCATGCCCTTGACCAGATGCCGAACAAGCCCAGGCGTCCCCAGTTCATCCAGAATCCAGACTGTACTGCAGTCGGTTTGTCATCTAGAGTCCTCTGACCAAGACCGAGATAAACCGGCTTGTTACTCTTGCCAGACTTCAGTGCACAACCCCTCCTGGTCCCAAGCCATCTGCACCACTGTCACTGTCACGTGTGAGCCCACAGGGCAGCCGATGGCCCTTCTGGACCTGCCTCTCCCTCGCCGCCCCTCCGCTTTACCAAGCACGATGCCCTCTTTCAGGACGGGACTCTCCTGCTCATGAGTCGGAAGCATGGGACACATGTCTCTCTCACCATCCTCAACCTCCTCGCAGCGTGTTGGCTGTGCCGCTGCCAGGACAGATGTGCTTGTGCTTCGGGGCGCCCCGGCC